TTAATGTATAACGATGTCGCTGTACATATAATCTTACAATGTGAATATACAGGGGAATTAAGAGACAAATTATGGTGTGATATAATTAATATCAAAGATATAATGTTTAGTGTACACTTACATTCAATGTCAGATTACAAGCTTTTTCATATTCTTATGGGTGGAGATATTTCTTTCGAACTTGATCCATCTGATATAGATGATTTTTAGCAGTAACTTCCGTACACAAAATGTGTAAACATTATTACAAATAGTGATTCATTCATTAATTAATTACAAGAGACTGTAAGATAAAACAGGTATCGATGACATATCTTGTGTCACGATTATTACGTACACTCATTTGTATAAAAAATAATTATCTAAATGACGAGATTTTTTTCCAAAGGGAGGTAACTCTGTGATACGTCAGTGATACTTTGTAGTGTAACACTCCTTATAACGTCGTAAGATAATTTTAACAATTTTGTGTTGTTAGTTCAGTATTATGATAACCAACGCGATAAAACTTGTATCAGTATATTACTACATTGTCCTACTATAACACAATGTATTGATAATGTATTATGACTTCTACATTTACTCCCCAAAACTATTGATAAAGGGGAAATAACTTCATGTGTATGTTACGTCAGCAGTGATGTCTTGTTGTATAACACTCTATATAATGTCGCAAGGAAAATTGTACTATTATTTCACTATTTTGATTTGTACAATTGTATTCTACTAAACATTGTGGTTATTGTGCCCCGCTCCTATCTAACGTCTGTTCTATATATGTATTATTCTGGTTTTGTAAATCTTCAAAATTGGAGGAAATAAAGAGAATAATAAGAATATGGAAATTATAACGCACCAAATCGTGTCAGATATGATAAAGAATAAGAACAGCTAGCTTACCCATCGAAAGTAAGATCATACTTTTAGGGATCATTTCTATAGTATGCATCGCCGGAATGTCAGGTAAAACTGACCAGACCGTAAACCACGATGACGAGTCAGAGCGTCCCCTTCTGAGCGTGAAGCGGACAGGGGTTGTCTGTAGCACCACGGACATTGCCCAGCTGTCATTGATGACCGTTCATCTCCTCCTTCGCGGGGGTTGGAGGAAGGGGACGCATTCTGAGTGGTTCCAACTACAACAAAACCTTGAAAATAAGGAAGAATATTTTTTTAAAGACCTTTCCGGCTTCTATATGTCATATATTCATGAAGTTTACTTCATTTCTACATTTTAGAAGCACTACCTGGTAGTACCGCAGGGTCATCCGAGAAACACAAATATAATAGTTGGAGTTGCTTAAGTAAAAACTATAAATCTGTAATTTCAGTGGCAAACAACAGGAGGCGATATTTTAGAACAGAGTTATATCGCTAATTAGGATATACATGGAATAAAAAAAATATGTTTTGGGGAAATCACAGGGAAAAAATATTTCCGGGCATTGTAGGCATTACATAAGAGCAAGAAGGCCGAAAAATATCGGTTGAGTATAGATGATCTTGAAAATAAGAATGGAATTTCATATAAAACATATCTCTAATTTTACATGCATAGCATGAATTAATTGCAATCTGTATTTTTCTAATTCCTCCCTGATACTAAACATCATATATTATTACATCTAACAAAATCAGACTTGAAATGACAGATTCCATTTTATTTTAAAATAATTAAAAAAAAAAAAATAACAAAAAACAAAAAATGGGTGGGTAGGGGATATTTTTACATAATTAAGACCAAAACTTGATATGGGATTTTGAATAATGTTACATGTATTAGCTTGGTGCAACATCTTGTCCATGAACTTTACATCGACACCATTGTAGTGGGGTTTCGCGCTTTTGTAATCTTCAAGTGGACGTTTCAGCCTGTGATTGGTAATTTTTTTGTTGAACCAATCAAAATACTGTGCTTGTGCCTTCAGTTTTGTCATGACATGTCCCAGGGCGAAGAGAGTGAAAATGATCGTAACTCCTGGAGTATCGAGAATGGATTGAATGTTACCATCACTTTAATCCCTGATAAACAAGCTTATAAAATCTTTCAACGTATTTGTTTGTCTTTTGATAATCATATTAAAAATTCCTTGATGTGTACTTTGAGTTTGTGATTTGAATTAACATATTCTTACAAATATGCATTATAATTTTCCTCACTTCATGATCGAAGGTATTCACATGTACATACATCCTTGTTTTCAAAATTCTTTAACCAGGTCAGGTGTAATTGTGTATCAATATTGAGGAATAGCAAGAAAGGTGGGATTTTCTCAGCCACTGTTATCAATTTTTTTTATTTCAAGTTGTGATGCTCTTCATTTTGATAATCATATGACTATTCAAAATATTACCCAGTGTTGTCAAGCCCAGAAAATGTATAACAGCCAAACACATATCAGAATTTGTACCAGCGAAACTGTAGGTAGAGATATTGCATTCACTTCTCCATGTACCTCCCGATGGGCCTTAAATCAACTTAAAATCCTACACAACAAAGATCTTAACCTTGTTGCAGTATTGTGAATTAGCAGGCAATTCCACAGTGTTGTGCGAATATTTGAAAGTTAAACCTCCAACAAATGGGTCTTTCAATGGATGTTGTGACCAATATCCCAGATAGACATCAACTGAAGTGACAACTAAATCTTTATTTGATCTTGGTATATCAAGGTAGATAACCATCCTCACCTCCTACTCAGCACATCATTGGTTTGTACCTAAATGTTTGGTCTCCATGATGATAGCCAGTTTCTCTAAGTTTTCTGACAAGGTTTGGAACTTTTCAATAAGGTATTCAGTACTTTCAGCCATCTTTTTTTTTATTTAGACTACATAGAAAATTTGAGAAATATCCATTGATGGCTTCTTCTGAAATACAATAACAAGCTATTTCTATCAAAATCCTAGCTGTCCACCAGTCAGCATGACAATTTCTCAGATCAGTTCAAAAATCAGATATTACACAACTAGGGACCAACATGAATCTATGTATATGTATGAACAAAAGGCCTAGCAGCCTTGATGGCCTGAAATAAGCAATATTGGATATAAGAATTAATGGGAAAGTAGCTTTTAAGTGTCATGAAAATGAATTTGTGATATAAGCCAATGTCAATACATGCATACCATCAGAACTGTCAACCTATACTATTAATCTTATAAAGTTATTTCTAGTGGGAAATAAACAATGTTATGTTCAGAAATGCAATTTTTCTATAAAAATTATAGTAAAGTTAACCTTCTCTCCAGGAAGAAATGTGAGTCATTTTGGTTATTAAAGCCTTGTAGACACTTCCATCCTAGATAAGCATTTAATTTGACAATATCCGAGTGTTCTGAAATTATTTTTTGTAGTCTTTTTTTTTCAAACTTTTTTTATACATTTATTATACATATAAAGAAAAAGATTTTTGAAATTGAAGTCAATTTGACCCATACTAGCCCTGCCTAAGAGCCCTCAGGGTCAGTCAAGATTAATCTATTCATACCATCAAGTTATCATCCTTCATTCATAATTCTAACCAAATTTGAAATATTTCCAATGGATATTCAACAAATTATACTCAACAATCTATTTTTTCCAATATAAATTATAGTAAACTTTGACCTCTTCCCACAGGAAAAAGTGAGACCCTTGGGCCATGAAATTCACAATTTTTGTAAACAACCTTATGACGCTTCCATCCATGAAGAGCATTTGATACTTCCTTATCTGGGTGTTGAGCAGAAGATTTTTCAAATTTGAGAAAATTTGACCCTTTTGGCTTTGCCCCTCTGGCACTCCCATGTGCTGGGGACCATATAATTCACTATTTTGTTTCATCTTAGACCAAAGAAGTTTTTGTGAAAAATTCATTTAAATCAGTTCAGGAGTTTTGGAAAAGAAGTCCAAAATGAAAAGAATCATTACTGTTAAAATCCAAGACGACCACTTGTCAACCATTTGATTCTTCTGGTAAGTTCTACAATGAGACAATGCACACTTAAGGACAAAAGGGCATCTGCAACTGAATTCAAAAATGACCAATACAGGACTTACGAAGAAATAAGAGTTGACAAGAATTGTTTGAAAAAAGGAATAGGGGTTTAAAGAATTTGCTCCATTTTCCCATTTGGCCCTGCCTCTCCTGCCCCCCAGGGGCTGAGACCCATTGTTTATATGAAATTTACCCCCCCTCCCACCCCCACCACACTTCCACTTACCCACAATTTTTTAGACCAAATTTAGACAAAAATCAATCAATCCTACAGGTGGATTGAGATTTTAAAGAATCTGTTCAATTTCCCTTATGGGGGGGTGGTTTGTTATCTCAGGGGGCCGAGACCCCATCATTTATTCCAAATTGATGCCAAAAGATTACTTGGCCCTTTGGGCTAGGTGAGCTAAAAACTGTAAACAGATGCATTGGCTATGCAAATCAGGGACAAGTAACAAACAGTTTTGTTGTATGCAAATATATAGAGGACCAGGCAACATCTATGTGAAAAATTAAAACTGTTTAATAGTTGACATGTTTCGGCATACTAGGTATGCTGTCCTTGTTTTCATGACAGCATGCCTAGTATGCAGAAACATGTCAACATTTAACCAGATTTATTTCTTCCTGCGGATGTTGTCTGGTCCTCTATACTTGCTGTTTACACATCTTTTAACCAGACTCCTGTATTCCACTAAGTATCCATCCTTCCAGACCGCATGTTGCATCTCATTTTCTTTGAATTTTGTTATACATTCCTGTGCAAGAGCACAGTAAAACTGACCCCTCTCCAAACTTGATTTATCACAAGTTACTAGGAAAACCTATAACATTGCACAAAAATGTCACATGTCAGAATTCAAAGGGCTTAAAAAATCATAAAATGTATGATCAGAAATTATCAATCAAAGAAATCAAATTTGAAATCAGTTTAACAGCATTTTGAAATATCTGCCTGAAAAGCTGTGAAAGGAGTTGTAGAGAGCAGTGCGAGTAACATAAACAATTTAGAAAACAAAACAAAACATCATAACTTTTATTCCATTTGCATCCAAAATCTTTCAACCATAAAATACATTTATATAAAGTTTCATATCAAACATACACATTTACCTGAAATACAATTTACAAATGACCTCCCATTGTGTGTAAAAGGAGATGAAAATGTACAATGAGAATATAATTGCATGTGTATCACTGTGGAATGTGATGCAATTATAATTAAAACATGAAAAATTATCTGTCAAAGGACTGACATGAATATGAAATATGCTGACCATATGTAATATATATGAGATTTTTGTTTTGTGTAGAAAATGTTCAGCTGTTAAAACACAACCAATTTAGTCTTTTTATGCCAGCGTATCTTCTTAAAACACATTTTCATGGTCAAATTCATCCAGCTTGGTCATGTGCAGGTGTAATATACCAGGAGTTTATCATCCAATCTAGCTCAAATAATCCAATTTCCTGTGAAAATGAAAAAAAATTATGCTCAAGTACATGTATATTACATCAAACTTGATCATGTTTTATGAAACACAAGAATTTTTAGAATTAATCGGTCTCTCTTTCATAAGAAATATCCTCAAACCATCCCCATTAACTCAATGTGAAAGTAAATCATTTATTTATGTTGTGTATCTTGTTGTTTGCAGTTGTACAGCCAAATAAAAAACAAAGGTCATAGGAAATGGTGTGTGTAGGTGACAGAACCACTCCAGATCATTTTATTAATGCAATTACACTTAAACATTGTAATGCAAACTCATTAATGCTGAATGTTTATTTAAGATGCTTAAAAGATCAGCATAAATATTATTGAAGGAATTTCACCAAAATATTCAATAAGATAATTTTCAACCAAAAATTTGGATAAAAAACTCAACATCTCTATTTTGTTCCTAATTTGAGTTATAAACCCCACAATTTTATAACACCAACAATGTAACTTTGTCACAAATTCTGAAAATGACATGTTTCCAGAGCAAAAAACACCTGCCTCACTTGACAAACATTTGCTGGCTGAGAGTAAAATCCAATTTTATACCAAAGTTCATTGTTTAATCACACTGTGCACAAATTCCAGGTAAATACAAACATTTATAAAGCTTTTGTTATTCTTAAATTTATCAAATTTAATATACCGGTACTCTGTCACTCAAAAAATTTGACTGATATAATACAAAGATCATCATGCAAATATCATAGTAAGATATCTGAAATAGATACAATCACCATTTCACTCACTGCTGATCTGGTTTTGGTCGTATACGTCCTGCTACAATCTTTCCATAGCCTCCTCGTCCTTCATCAAAATCTGTTCTGTATTCATCTCGCACCTGTCAAAAAATATACCCCAGTGAATAAATATGACATCTCAAACTTGATCTGACCTGAAGCATACAGCAATTCACCCTATTGGACCTATACAACAATGTCAAAAAATTGCACATGAGATATGACAATGGCTTGACCCAAGCATATTCCAGATCAAAACTTGCTGAATACGGATGATGTATTTTAATAGAATAAAAACTTTATATACTATCAGTTATATATACTCAATGCCGACCCCCTCAGTCTCACAGCGGTAACATGTCCCCTGTTTAGAGTTGAGTTTACAGTAGACCCTCTCACCTACCTGCCGTTCACTCTTTCCTCTTCCAAACTGTTGACCCTGTTACCTTCCTGTCCTCCATTCTTACCTTTACTATAATGTTGACCCTCTTATCTACCTGTCCTTCACTCTTTCCTCTTCTATAAAGTCAACCATCTGACCTACCTGTTCTCAATTCTTTCCTCTACCATACTGTTCCCTCTTACTTACCTGTTCTCAATTCTTTCCTCTACCATACTGTTCCCTCTTACTTACCTGTTCTCAATTCTTTCCTCTACAATACTGTTCCCTCTTACTTACCTGTTCTCAATTCTTTCCTCTACCATACTGTTCCCTCTTACTTACCTGTCCTCCACTCTTTCCTCTTCCATACTGTCGACCCTCTTTGAAACCTGCATCCCAATCAGTTCTCACAATGCGGTCATCAAGCCGTGTTCCATTGATATACCTCAAAGCATTAGCAGCATCTTCACGCAAGTAATATCTTGTAGTTGGTTAAGGAATGCAATATGACAAACTATAAGAATGTATGCTCAAGACTTCTTTTCATAGTTTATTCAGAGGGTTGGAAGCAAATGATAACAAGCCATCGCATATGAAATTCTACATTGATGTAAGTGTAGAAAGGACATAGTCATTGGACCTACTGCCAAGGGAGCCCAGTCATGGTCATGATATCTCACAAAGTTTATTTAAAAGTATGTCTAGAATTAAAAGGCTGAAACTGAAGTGGAGATTGATGTGTTATTTATGAAGTTATTTGAAACTGCTGAGGAGAAAAAGGTTCCAGAAATAATGGAATCAATTAATTTGATTCCAATGTAACAAAGAATTGTCAAAAGTGAAAACTCCTCTACAGCAAAAGGAAATACAAGACCACTTGAATATGTAAGAATTTTAGTGGAATCATTTGTAAGAGTAAATGCTCTGGAGATGCTTTAATCAATGATTCTGATTATTTGTTATGTTGGTACCCAAAGAAATATTCAAACTAGGAACCCTTTCATGCTGAAACCAGTAATTTGGATTATTTGTTTCAATAGTAACCATCAAAATGCTGAAACTGAAATTTCCTTTACAGCAAAATAGCAAACAGCACTAATAAACTACTTAAGTGATATGCGGAGAAAGTCTGGTGAGATTATCTTGAACACTTTTCAAGATATGCTCTGAAAAATCCCTAGGAGGGACAAAGAGTCAAATGAAACCCATCTGTACAATAATCTTTGTTGGTTGTGGGATAGTATAGATGTTTTGGTTGTGAAGTTTCATCAAAATTTCATAAAGAATGAATCCAATAGAGTTCTGACAAGGATGGTCTTAAAAAATGTGACGGTGGCTTTTACCTTGACGCTACAACCCTTGAACTCCTGAAATTTGAATTTGTACAAAATTCTATAGTCATTTATAAGTGTGAGATGTTTGATCATACCTCAACCCACCCTTAGAATGAAGTCGCTATAGCACTGACAATGATAAAAGTTATGTTACATACAGGAACATTCTAGGACACAAGCTCTTACAAAACAACATTGAGTTTCCTATGTCTTTCAATCTCATCATATATTATCCAAATTGTTCAAGTCTTGACATTCAGGCTTGGTGAGATTACAAATTTTAAATTACAGGAATTACTTATTCTGGCTTATCTTTCACATATTGCATGTAAGCAAAAACTTGGGCATTATTTCTTGTGACCAAAACACCTAAACTGATCTGTGGATAGAATTTCAAGGCACAAAAATGAAAATTTAAGATATCCTGTTCAGAACCAGTTCAAATCTTTGACAATATAAACAATATAGTGAGTATATATGTTAAAAGGTTACTCTAAAAAGCAGAATCCACATGGAGTTTTCTGAACTTTATCAAGACCCATAATTATCCTCTTGACATCTCCACATTTAGAGAAAAGTTCATGTATCTGTTCCTCTGTTGTATAAAATGAAAGATTGCCAACATAAAGTGTGGAGCTCTGCAACAGTAGTCTCTCCTGCTCTACTCGATTTCCCTGAAATTTAAAACAAGTATAATTTTTCAGTATTAGTAATGGCTAACAACCCCCTCCTCTCCCCTAATCCCTATTCACAAATGAGGTAATGGCTAAAACCCCCTCTCATTACTAAAAGATCCATATAGTTGGTCTTCAGAATTTGAGTAAAATCGCAGGAACACCACGAGTTCAGGACTAATATCAGAGTCCTCCAAATCAATTTCTTAAGTGGTAAAGTAAAGGTATGTGTATTGATCCATGGATAGCAGTAAAGAGTCTTTCTATTCATAAGATAATGGCAGAGTTTTCTTGAACATGATGTATCATTAAGTACTTTAGATAACTATGAGCTAAAAAATCGCATGTGAATGATATTTTTATCATAACTGAATTAAAATTTACTTCTCAAGACTAAGCGTAAGACACCATATAAAATCATCAAATACAGACCTCCACTAGAGTTGATTAAAATAATTAAAAATGAAAATAGGTCATTCATGATAAATGATTGGTATATTTCATGTTACCTTTATTTCAGCAGAATCAAATAACAGCTACCTCAGTACCGGTATTTCAGGTGGGGTGGATCAATGATCACTGCTGATTTAGTTATTGTTTTAGGCAGACCTAACTCTGGTATTGCCAAACTTCGTATAATTTGATGAAATATATGACCCATTAGGCTAGTCCGGGGTACAATTCCTTCCCTATTGTTAAGCATGCATGTTGATGTCTCATTGCCGGTGAATGGCTTATGCGTCAAAACTGGTGATGCCACTTGTTTCATTTTGTTCACAATTACCCAATAAATTCAATTGCCATTCCTAAGGACTTCGAAACAAAGAGACATGAATATCACATATTTACCTTGAAGTGTTGATCTCTGTAGGAGCTTATAGCGGCAGAGCCTGACGGTAAAGACATCTTTGATGTCATTTTGTTTTCAGGCTCCCTTTGACTCTCACGAATCGGCAAACTCGGTCCTCACCCGGATGCTTGCATCGCCACCTAGTGGCAAGACCCTGAAAACCAGTCGTAGGCGAAGTGTTGCATTATTTGTGAGACATGGGGAAATGTCAAGTACGTAAACTTTCGATGTCAAAATGTAAAAATTGTGAAAATGGTGAGACGGGGAAACATTATCATATGAAGCATTAACAAGTGAGTATTAATCAGAAAACTGTTTTCGTACTTTACTTTCCCAAAATTTGAGATTGAAATTGGTGGTAGATCCAGACACAGGATCCAGAACTCTTACGTTATCTGCGATAAAAAAAATAGGCGATGAGAGTGACACGGTACATTTTGAAAGATTTGGCCCAATTCGATATTTATAAACAAAATGATAATGTTATAATGTTAATGAATACGGGAAATAATTGTCTTTGTCTTTGGTTGCACGATTGGAAAAAGTTTCAAAAAATCTTGTGATGGTTTTGCAGGTGTGACTCACCAGCTTCGAACCATCAATGACGTCACTAGCAGACGAATCTTTGGTCGGTTGTTTCTACAGCATCCTATCAGTAGGCCAGACAACTTGTCTAGCTGCAATGATATGTGACAATCATGTAAATATTCAATGTAAATGTTAAATAATTTGCTATCAGAGATTGCACACACTCTACAAATAAACAGCAGGTATTGTCATCTTAAAGACAATGAAAAGGCCTCTTTGGCCTGTCTTAAGACTATATGTGATTTGTAGTTATAGTTTATTAGCGAAAATTTGTACCTTTGTAAAAGCCTAATTCATAATAGGCCTGTGAATATATGACTTTATTGAGCATATTTTGTGGCCACATAAAATGTTTAATGAATATGACTTTTATTTTCACTAGAAGAATTTTAAAATGTGAGAATAATTCGAAATGTGAAATTGTACATCAGAATGAGTTAATATGTGATAGGTTGCCCAAGAAGTTTTTTTTTCTTCAAAATGAACATTTAAACTCATTTTAAAAATCCTAAATGCATTTGTGTAACTGTATTTATAGATTAAGTAATACATTTTGGTTGGTGACCTTTTGATTTTAACACTATAGATAAATTACTGCTGGTGCAATGCCAATCAAAACTTTTGATGGTACAGTGTTGATCAGTTAATTGGTATTATTGCTAACTGACAGCACCTGAATTTGAAGTTTATTAGTTTATTTCCTGGTCCATGACTGGCGAACACAAACTCCAATGCCAGATCCCTGTACACATTAAATGATGGGGCATCCTGTTTAATACTCATCACTGATTGACTTCTGAGCTGATGTTTGCTGACGTGATGTACACATCCCTATTCCATGTTTAAGTAACTGATTATTTGCTTTTGATTTAGAAACCAAGTGGATATTAAGTTAGAGGTCTATGAAAATTTTTGGGGAATAATCATTAATCTACGTTCATTTCAGAATATAAAACTTCTTGATTCTAATGAAATAACAGCTTCTGAGCGAGATATTGTGCAGCGACACAAATTTTCAATTATGTATGTATTAAGAGCAAAAATTTTGGCTACCCGTTCAAGTTCTCCTTTCACAGGGTAGTTGATTCATTCTGATCTTTAAGGGTTACTTTCCTTAATTCCACATGATCAACACTGATGGTAAAGTGTTAAGCTTGACAACTCTAGGGGCCAAGAATGAGGCAACCTCATTTACTTGTACATGTGAACATTCACTTGTGATATTAAAAACTATAGTGTGTACAGTCTACTCCCATACACATTTTCTTTGTATATTTCATTACTTTATGATAGAAAAGATAATACTGTGACTGTTAGGTCCACTTGTTGTAGCAAGAATGTAAACCTCTTAGAAAATGTGTTCTTTTTCAAAAACAACAACTTACAGATATTTTGAATTTAACACAATATGTTGTGATATATGAATGTTGTCTGTATAGGCCCCTTTTCCATCATTGTTGTATTTTTCTGTCAAGTTCACCTTTTAGAAAAGTGCATGATTACACATATCTGTCCTCTTAGTCATGTGGCCCTGGCTGTTGCATTGACTTTAGGCCCCAGGACAACAAAACAAAGCAGATTTACATGAGAATCAGTAGAGTACAAGCATGATGGACCAGTCTCTTCATATACAATACTCTTTATGCTAAACAATCAATTGGTCCATTTTTTGTTTAAAGGTTTGATAAGTTGGACCAGAGTTGTCTTTTATGATGTAAAAGCGAACATACTGATATACTTTTGTCTACTGATGAGCTTCAGCTAAACCTTTCAAGGCCTGTATTGATATTTTCAGGTCTGTCTGAATTTATGCCTGAAATGTTACAATTTAAAGTGTTGACAAAACAATATGTCTGCAGCAAATTGATGAAACTGATGTCATAACTCTAGACCAAATGTAATCATTGCAATGCAATGCAAAATTGTACACTGTAGAGGTATAGGAGTCAAATCAAACACTTCAGATTCTCACCTGAGGTTGAATTATTTTATGCTTTACTGACTGTTATGGTCCCCAGTTTGGTTTGTAACATGAGTGGTTATGCTATTTACATCTCTTTTTTTATAGACCTGTCAGTCTCTAGTGTTATCAGAGTATGTTTGTTTAGAGCTAGTGCTTGATAACACAAAAGTTTCATATTGTTTTGTTTGTTTCAGATACACAATGCTATTTTATGGTGCATTGTATTAGGACTGCTACAAGATGAGGAAATGGTATGCTGCACTGTGGTTGGTGCGAGTAGTGTTGGTGCTATTGCCACAAACTGCCTACATCCATCCTGATGAGTTCTTCCAAACAGTGGAGGTTGTGGCAGGTAAAATTGTTCAATTACTGTTGTGAGACTGGAAAGCTCTTAATATATAGTTTGCCAAAAAGAAAAAAATGGCCTTGACTGAAAAAGCATTGATCAAATGTAAATCAGTTAAAACAATATAAATTTGAAAAGAAAGGAAGCATTTTTTTCCAGTCCATGTGCATCTTTGATGGAGAAAAACACAAATACCTCCCAAAACAATAACAACAAAATAATATCTATTGAACACATAGATGAAAGTTTTAGCAGCAAATGTTGTAATTATTTAAACCTAAGAGAAGTATTCCTACTTGTGAGATCAAGAGAATATTTCAGCCTTGGAGAAAGGAAGGTGCACTAATCATTGTGCCACGAAGAGCCTCCCCTCCCCAAGATAAACATCATGTCGTGTATTACAAACAAGTATTCATGCCATTTACCTTTCTACATGCTGCTTAACACATAAAGTTGGAAAAGCATTTTTGATATATGAATTCTTGCCAAATTTTCTTTCAAATTTTTTGTTTTTCATATTTTCAATGTTTGGTGAAACAGGGGACATATGATAATTGTATTATACTTTCATAGTCAACCTTTTAAGTCTTAATACAAAATGTCTTGCAAGAAATTGAAGCACCTTGTGAATTGTTTAGCATGTGACCATTTGACATGCAAGACCTGATTTGGTAATGTATTGTACAACACCTGCACCTACATCTGTACAAATGTTAAGGCACCCTTTCTAAATCCTGTGTGGATAAGTTGATGTAATTCTAATTTTTTTTTTAAATTTCTTTAAATTTTACACAATGACTATTAAATGATTCAATACTCCAACGTGATGAAAATCTCATTAGCATAATATTTTTCAGGTGACATCCTGGGCTTGGATACCTACACTCCATGGGAGTTCAACTCCACGTCTCCAATACGTAGCGTAACTCTGCCGTTTACAATCCTGGGACCACCACTTCTCCTTTTCAACTTCTTCACACATCATTTCCCTATACTTGAGACATCTTACCTCATCCTCGTGCTGCCACGCTTAGTCATGGTCCTCCTAACTGTTGTTTTGGACCTTTCAGTGTATTACATGTGCCAGTGTCTCAACCTGAACGAGTGGATGGGTCTTATGTTAGTGTCATCAAGCTACGTAACGTTGACTTACTTGACAAGGACATTCACAAACAGTTTTGAGACCACGTTTCTTTCACTATTATTAGTAGTGTTAATAAGAGAGTGGAAATCAACAAGAAGTTCAACAATTCTGAATTTTAAAGTACTGAGTACAGATGTCAAAGATAAAAAATCAAAGAAGAAATTTAAGCCAAAAAAGAAAATCAAAAGTACGTTTATTGCTGAAATTCCTAGATATAGGCCTTATGAATGCATAACTAGTAATTTTCTCCCCTTGTCAGCTTTTCTTGTTGGGATGATTGTTGTGGCAGGTATGTTTAATCGCCCAACTTTTCTAATATTTTGTAGCATGCCAATCTTTTTCTGGATTTTATCTTATTATACCAAGACAAACAAATTCAATTCCATTATGACCATTGTGATATTTTCTGGTCTCGGTTTCCTGTTATCGTTTGTTATTTTTGTGTTTGTAGATTCTGTGTACTTTAATCCTCAAATATTATCAACTGTTAAAAGTGATTTTGAAAATTGTCAATCTTCGCGAAAAGACTATGTCATGTGCTTGAAAGACACAATCACAAAATATGTCATTGTTACTCCTTGGAACTTTATAAGGTATAATACAAAACGTGATAACTTGGCGCAGCATGGCATACACCCGTGGTATGTTCATCTACTGGTCAACATGCCGTTACTGTTTGGACCAATGTGTGTTGTGATGTATTACTATATTGTTAAGTTTGTATTGGACTTGTACAAAAAGACATGGAAGAGTCACAACCTGGCTTTGATATTCAGTAATTTTATGCCATTGATTCTTCTGTCATATTTTCCTCATCAAGAGCCGAGATTTCTCATTCCATTATTACCTACTATGACGCTGATCACATTGAAAATTGTTAGTTCTGTGAACCACAAATCATTTCTTTGTACATGGATTGTATTCAATCTATTGTTGACTTTATTGTTTGGATTTCTTCATCAGGGAAGTTTGACTTCATGTATTCAATATTTTCAGCATAATCTCCATTCCAAGTGCAAAACAAAAGAATCATCTAAACACTGTTTTACTCATAAAGATAAATTCATATTTTATCATACATACATGCCTCCACGATATTTGTTTTTAGATGAAAATGCAAACAAGCAAATAGTTGATTTACAAGGACAGAACTGGACTAGTCTTAGCAATCATAAGCCCAAAACAGTGAAACACCAAGTGTATGTGATATTACCAGGGTCTCTTATACAGGAGGCAAAACATCATTTAAAATTTGACATTGTTACTCAATTTTCATTGCATTTAACAATGGAGGACCCACCAGATCTATCGCTGTTGTTTCATTTATACGAAGACTTTACGTGTCATAACTTTTATAAAATATGGACAGAATTATCATCACAGATGTCATTATTTATAATTAAAATAAAAAGGTAATATTTTGGTTTTGCTTTATTTTTTGCTTACTTCCTCAAAATAAATTGGTTGAATAAGTATGCCTATATTAGTTCAGAATGGCTGAAGGAATTTTTAACTGATGCAAGTACACAGAATATATATAAATGGAAAGTGTAGTCCTACATGGGATGAAGTAATGGCAATTTGTACCTCCACCAACCTTACAATCTTATTGTTTGTGTAGACTAAATATAATTGAAACAGAGGAGGCCTGGTTTAGATATTAGTCAAGTGAACAAGGGATGGAGTAGCAAGACCAAGCAAGGAAAAAGTGTTTGTTTGAAGTTTGTGTTCATGTACCAGCTAAGGTAACAAAACAAGTGATAAGGCTTGAGTGTGTTTTGAAAAAGTCATTTCATGAAATATCATATATATATAAATAACATGATACCCCACCAACTCACATTGTGATGACAGTTGCTAATCTCATTATCAACTGCCAATCAAGCAGAGAGCCATACATGCAATTCTTGGAAGATTATGGTTTTGTCCTGGTTAGTGAGGCCCAAGTCTACATCCTTCACTTGTACTTTATTGTCAAGTAAGGCATAAGGAAAAGAGAAATTAAGAAAAAAAGCGAGAAATATCTTATAATTCAATCCATTAGAACAGCAGATATTGTTCTTGAGCCCTATCTATAGGAACTTAATTTCACATTCACAATGGGAATTCAAGTTGTTGGTGTAGCCATCTTTGCTAAATGGGGAAAAACTAATGACAGGATAATTTTATCTTTCGCAATGTGCATTGCGCCCTACCTGAAAGGGAATGTAATGCAATGTAAGAAAGATTGGGATGTTTGACTAATATGGTATTGGAGATGAAAAATCTATGACAAGGGGAATTTTATCTTTTATTAATGGAGTGAATTAGAGGAAGTGTTTTTATTGGTTAGAAGGGTTGTCATGATCTGGTTTAACAATACACTACCATAGTGAAGATATAAGACTTGCAGTCACTTGTCATTGTCTCACTTTTGACCTCTGAGTTAATTATCGCCCATGTGAGGAAAGCTATAGGTCTTGTCTATAAACCATGCCATACATAAATGGTGTCACAGAGTGATACTTCATTCTCAGCACTAAATCAGATCCACAAGGAAATAACTGCCCATGTTGATGTCGGTATGATGGAGAAGGGATGTTAAACTATCATGTCCAAGTCCAGCAGTTGTGAAGGGATAAAGCCGGACGAAACAAAGATACCACAGAATAATCTTATCTCGTAATGGTGGGCCAAAACATACTTCCAACTTTTCAAAATTCTCACTCGGGAAGAAGTATCTAAATGACATTTTTGAATCAACATGATATGTTGCACATCTCAACATGAATGTCGCAAAGGAAAGATCTAAAGGACATTTGGTTGATATATTTAGGTAAGGTTAAGTTAATAACTTCATTATATGCATGTTTTACTATAACATAATAAAAGTCGCTGTTTTATTACAAGTCAGGACAAGATGGGATTTAAAAGATAATGTGAATCCTCTTTGAAATAAAATTTAATTAATTTTTCAGTACTCTATGAATTCGTACAATATAACACATAGCAAGATTTACGATTATTTGTTTAGTTGTTGGTATTGATATTTTTTTATTTCCAAATACAGTGTTTAAAAAAAAAATTAAATTCAAATATGAAAAAATATTGATTATCTCATGAAAATTTAAGCTACTATTGAAGTACAACCTATAGAAAAAAAAATAAAAAACATCAATGTACGGTAAATTTCTGAGTTCATTAAATTGTTTAAAAAAAATTCCAATATGAATAAGTAGGATTGATAATTCAATGATCTTTCATCATTATTTAAAGATAAGAGACATTTTATAATTAGTGTGTTTAGAAACAAATTAAGAGATGACAAGAACATATTCTCAAGGATTGTCCAACAGAATAGTTTATTATCACTAATTTCTCATTACTTCGTAGTCCGCAATATCTTTCTTAATCACAAGAAATTTGCATATAGGTTGCTGAAGGTAAAAATGAGTACTTTTCATGTTTGCAATCTGCATCATCCTTACTCTTGTTATTTATAAGAAGTCGCTTCAAAATCCTGTTGACAGGCTACTTACAAATATTTTGAAGTCATTTGGCACACATGACCTAGCCTAATATCTTGACCCTGGATCTTGCAATAACTGAGAAGCAGTTGCTTAAAGGAAATAGCCAATGGTTAATAACCTACTGAACAGCTTTCTCACACTTTCGGCAAGTCAGCTAATAACTATACAAGAAGTCTTGGGTTAAAATGCTTTCACACATTTTATTTAAAATACATATACATTTTGCATTTTCAAATGTCATATCCAATTATCCATATGCTTTTGAACTCCAGGTCTAGGTGTTACAATGGTTTTGTACAAGAGATATTATTATTGATCCTTATCGTCTGTTGCTGTGTTCACAAAGGAGGACAACATCAACTCCAGCTCAGAATTCTCCTCTGCATCCTCCTGAAGTGATATAAATTGAAATGACAAATCAATGTTTCAATAGTCAGGAAATCTTAATGATGTATTCATACATTTCAAAAGCATGCTGATTATTGGAATTGACCTTACCTAATGTTTTACAAACGACATCCTCTTACCTTTCACAACTGTCCTATCAACATTTTAAGCCAGAATGCCAAAACAAACATGAACTAGAGGGCTCTAACTCTTTTCGATATTTCAGCCAATGAGAAGGCCAGGATCGGTAAATTTTGTCTGAAAGGCCGTCACAATAGGCTATTACGTACTGAATACGTTTAGCCTTAAAATGAATTACCATCTGCCACATATATGTAATGTAGAAAAATTAGTGTTGAAGAAAGTTTTACAGTAGTTTTTAAGTTGGGGATGCGGAAAGGTTTAAATCTAAAGTATACTAAATAACTAACTACAAAATTACGTGTTTACCTGATTCTCATTTAGTTCTTTCTCAGAGTCTTTTATAACCTCTCTGACTACAGTATCTTTGGTATCAACCTCCTGCTTTCTCCCTTTTCTATCACAGTGTTCTTCAAGGTCCTCAACAGCTTTAGCATCAAGGAGGTCTGGAGAAGACTCTGGGACTGCAGCGCAGTCAGTAGCACTAGTGCACTCTGTGACCACTGTGTCCTCCTCATCTACCTCACCACCAGTGTGTTCTGTGACTCCTGGGTCCCTGCCATCCACCATCACAGAAGTGTCAACACTAACCTCCATTTCTGTGTGTGACTCACTTTCTGATGAATCCTCATCCTCTTCCATCAGCTCTAAGTCTTGTTGAACTATGTGACCTTGTTGAGATGTAGATGCTTCCATGTCATCATTGTATCTACTAATGGCTGCAGTAACTTCATTTGTTTTACTTTCGTTTTGAACATGTGATGACATATCATCATTTTTGGTCCTTGAAAATATTCTTTTCCCAGCCTCTCCGATTTCAAAGTCACTGCTGTTTTCTGAATGACTAAAAAGTGATCTCCGTTTATGTGATGATGTGAAATTTTGGGAATCAGATTGCTGCTGTATGAAATTTGAAGACTTTTCAATGTCATGATGACCATTAAGGTCCTTATTTGTGTCCACTGTTTGATCTGTCTGACTGTCCTTACTGCCTCCCACAGTTAACACTTGAGTAACCACCACTGGGGCTTTAATACAAGGTGCACGAGGATGAATCAGTGCCTCTAGAGTTCTTTGTGCCTCCAAACAAATCTTGTTAACCTAAAACAGAAAACAAAATGTGCTTCTGTGAAATCATTCATCTCCGTGAAAGGAGTGAGGGGGTTAATCATAACCAACCAATTCATACGTCCAATAACTGTTGAAGTTAATATAAGCAGATTTGTTGAGCTATACTTATCAAGTCTTCACAAAATAGCATTTTTTTTGAAAGACCACAAAAACTGACTCCCAAAATATATCTGATTTTACAGCATTATCATGACCGAGGTAATTAGATGTTCTCAGATGTTTTATCATCAGTAACCCTGTTTGACAATTTTAAGATACAATTTATTTCCCTGCTTATTACATGAATATTTTCTGATTGTTGTTTCTATCACATATACTTGAAAGACAGTATCCACTTCAATTACAAATGTACACGATTGTGCTGACACTTTGGACTGCTGCAGTATGGAATATCATTAACAAAACCAAAAGTGTTTAAACTTGAAAGGTATTCAGGAAGATTTTCAATCATCTGCAATTTGTTGTCATCAGCTAAAGACACATTCTGAACAGTACATCAGTAAAATCCTGTCTATGCAGCATTCCCATCAAGGTAGAAAATGATGTAGCTATTTAATCTTTAACAGGTGTAGGAATATACTGTACTTACCTTAAAGGACTGGTCATGAAGCCCCATCCTGAAGATCCCTAAGGAACAGTGGAGCGGTGAGGGTGTCGAGGGATGAGGCACTAGACAACAGGCCAGCAGTACCCTTAGTATCTGGTATCTACAACATGGGTCTCTGTAAGGAATCTCTGAGTTCTTCCTCTGTTGGAACATTGCAAGGCATGTCGAAATAGCAAACTCCTGTACATTCTACAAAACAATACATTTTATGATTAAGAAGCAAAAAATGTGTTTTTACTAAAGGTTGCTAATTAAAAGTTTCAATATAGAAATGTTACCAAGACAACTAACAAATCTTGAAAAAAACACTTGAGTATTATTTGTTACATTTTTCTCAGATGTCTTACCTTTTGTATCTACTTGACATCTTACCTGTAAGTTTATAAAACTAATCTATAATCATACCAGAGGATTTTGGAGTGATATTTGAGAACCTACCTGTGGTATTTTGTGTAATATCTAAGAACTTAACTGTGGTATTTTGTGTAATATCTAAGAACTTACCTGTGGTATTTTGTGTAATATCTAAGAATTTACCTGTGGTATTTTGTGTAATATCTAAGAACTTACCTGTGGTATTTTGTGTAATATCTAAGAACTTACCTGTGGTATTTTGTGTAATATCTAAGAATTTACCTGTGGTATTTTGTGTAATATCTAAGAACTTACCTGTGGTATTTTGTGTAATATCTAAGAACCTACCTGTGGTATTTTGTGTAATATCTAAGAACTTACCTGTGGTATTTTGTGTAATATCTAAGAATTTACCTGTGGTATTATGTGTAATATCTAAGAACCTACCTGTGGTATTTTGTGTAATATCTAAGAATTTACCTGTGGTATTTTGTGTAATATCTAAGAACCTACCTGTGGTATTTTGTGTAATATCTAAGAATTTACCTGTGGTATTTTGTGTAATATCTAAGAACCTACCTGTGGTATTTTGTGTAATATCTAAGATTTTACCTGTGGTATTTTATGTGATATTTGTGACTTACCTGTAAAGGTTTTGGACATCCAAGATCTTTTGGTCATATAATATATAAGATCACCTGTAATATATTTTGGACACAGTCTCACTGTATTTTATTTCAGACATGAGATCTTACCTGTAATATTTTCTGTGACATTTGAGATCCAATTGCTGTGAGCCACCAGTAAAGGGCTGTAAATAAAAGGGATGCAATCTTATTCAGTATTTTTGCGGCAATGGAATACTAAATGGTCTAGATTAATTAGGACAGGAGTCACAGGACTAAAAAAGAGTTTATACACCTAATATTAGATAACTTTTACTGAAATTCAGGCCTACTGGGGGGTGGGCTGAACGTGAGTAATAACAATTAAAAATATCACAGAAGAAACATTTATATTCATTGTGATCCAATGCTTAAAATTCCTAGAAAACAGCATGATCAACAGCAATAGTCATTTAGAGGCAGACACAATCTACCCAAACACCTTGGATCTTCACAAAAGGTCCCAAAGTCTAATATCTAATGACTGAGCTACCATGGCCCAAACACATATTATTATAACCACTGTATGGACGGGATAGGTAGAGAACATTTACCCTCTAATGCTGCTGACACCAGATCTGCCCCTGCCAACCTGTCAATCTTCCTCAGGGAGCTAATACCCTGTGATATTTCCTGGTAACCTGTCTTCTTTTTCTTGCGAGGAGGCGGTTGAGGATCAGACTTACTGGTACTATCTCCTGCACCACTAGAAAGCTGACAACACAAGTTATCACAAAGTCATTTCCTTATTCTCATCATCAATATTTCTTCAGCAGCTGTTATACAAGTCATTCATGTTGGTATGGATTAGAATTATAAAACAAATCAAGAGTAATTATCATATCTGTAAAAAGATATCAATGAAACAAACTGATAAGTTATTTGAAAACAGCCAAGTTTGTAAACCCTTTGAGAATTGTACCAGTCTTTGATTTCGATTCAATGATCACATGAGAAGTTAGTTGATAAAATGTAAAACAACACAGTAAATAACAAACAAATGAAGTGTTGATCCAGTCATGATTTAAAGACATCATTTGAAAACATTCATGCAGGTAGATCATGTTATATTTTACTTACAAAAACATGGATAGACCTAAATTAAGTTCCATATTTAAATAATTTATGTCATGAAGCAACACTACTCTCAGCACGCAAACTCAAGAATCATTATTTCATTCAAACTTGAAAGTACAGCACTTTTATTGAATCCCTGACAGTGCCACAGTAAAATCTTTTTTAATATCCATAATTTTTCTCAAAATGTGTAAAGCTGACTTCATGGATACATATAACTCAATCAATAGGCTTATTCTAATTTTATCAGTTATAGTGAATGTTGATTTAGTTGATTCAGAGTACCCACAATATAAATAAAAATAAAACACCCACAAAAACTAATGATTTCACAGTATACAGTTCACCACCATACTTACCATGTACAGTACTTATACACTGTAACTATCAATAGACTTGACAGTTGTAAGCAATTCTAATGAGACTGCAGTAGATATGGGTGGGCTTATTACCAGGCATACTCCCATATAATTACTGTACCTTGAATGTATCAAGTTGCATTCCAGCATCATGAAGTATCTCCTCACATAAGGCTGAGTCTTCAGTGGATGTCTCTACGAAGGTAACTGTCATTTGGAACCATAGTGTCAGACAGTTGTATACACTCTTCCTCAGTTCACTGTTGTTAAATTATAAATATCATGATGTAAACTATGATCATTGTCAGCTATCTTTATATAATACAGAATATATTTACAGAATAATACACAAAACATCACATTTACATTAGGATCATCATCATGGACAGTCAGTAAATACAAAGAAATTTGTGTGATTTATCATCAGTTCATCCTCAATACTTCAGGGTTACCATCACTATCACTCTCCGCATCCCTTGAAATTTTATTATAGCAAAAACAGTCTGTAGTTTGGTGTGATGTGATATGTGTAGGGTGGGTTCTGTCAGTAGTTAGGTTTGGTGTGTTACCTGTAGGGTGGGGTCTATCAGTAGTTAGGTGTGGTGTGTTACCTGTAGGGTGGGGTCTATCAGTAGTTAGGTGTGGTGTGTTACCTGTAGGGTGGGGTCTATCAGTAGTTAGGTGTGGTGTGTTACCTGTAGGGTTGGGTCTATCAGTAGTTAGGTGTGGTGTGTTACCTGTAGGATGGGGTCTATCAGTAGTTAGGTGTGGTGTGTTACCTGTAGGGTGGGGTCTATCAGTAGTTAGGTGTGGGGTCTGACCGTAGTTTGTTTTGGTGTGTTACCTGTTGGGTGGAGTCCTTAGTAAAGTGTGTTACCTGTAGGGGCGCGCCTGCCCGTAGTTTGGAGTGGAATGACTCCAGACTAGTTCTTGTACCAGCAGAGTCAGTACCAACTTGGTGTGAGGCAGAAGGTGAAGTTTACAGCTACAAAATAGATAAATCATGTAAAATCGGACACCATAACATCAGTATGGTATGCTATAGGTAAATCTGGGAATTCATTAATATACTCTAGCAGAAACAAATAGCCCAGCTCACCTGGATATTTCAGTCATCAAGACAAAATCTCTCATTTGCATAGCATGAATATTTCTAATTTCTACCACACTAAGTTCCACAAAAAGACCAATATAATTTCATTTTCTGGTGAAATAGAAGTTTCAATGCAAAATAAGTGAAATAAAAACAACAAAATTTTCACTTGTTGTTCCCATTGGCTAGCCAAACATTTATACAAGTTCAACAATGAGCTTTACTCATTTATTAGTTCTACAGATGACTGTGTAATGGTCATAACCTTGACCTAAAAATGAATAAGCCATTGGCATGCACAGACTCTTGTAACTGTGCACTGACACACCAAAACCAGTTCATGAGTAATGTAACAAAACACCTACAACAGATCAGGGAAAAAGATCACACTGTGTTGTTCAGAGAAATCAGTTCATATATGTGTATCAATATAGAACTTCCTAACAGAATATGGCTATTATCAATAATTACCATTTGATGAGGTTGTAGAGGAGAGAGATGGCTAATCTGTGTATAGATGGTATAAATCCAGCTAATAAAAGTCGCTCTGTAGAAGGTCTAGCTACCTGAAAGGAGAAACGTTACACTGTTTATTATCACAAGAAAAGCTGACTTCTGGTAGAAAATCCAAACGGTCATTACTCTCCAAAAATTGTAAAATAAAAATACTATTCAGTGAAAACAAAATAAGCATCTGGACAGGACTACGTGGGGACAAACCTTCATTAGACCTAAATACTCACCTGCATTTTACAGTTAACAGACAGGATCCTACAGACGAGGTTCAGAACTATGTGGGGACAAATCTTCATTAGACCTAAATACTCACCTGCATTTTACAGTTAACAGACAGGATCCTACAGACGAGGTTCAGAACTATGTGGGGACAAATCTTCATTAGACCTAAATACTCACCTGCATTTTACAGTTAACAGACAGGATCCTACAGACGAGGTTCAGAACTATGTGGGGACAAAACCTTCATTAGACCTAAATACTCATCTGCATTTTACAGTTAACAGACAGGATCCTACAGACGAGTTTCAGAACTATGTGGGGACAAATCTTCATTAGACCTAAATACTCATCTGCATTTTACAGTTAACAGACAGGATCCTACAGACGAGGTTCAGAACTATGTGGGGACAAAACCTTCATTAGACCTAAATACTCATCTGCATTTTACAGTTAACAGACAGGATCCTACAGACGAGGTTCAGAACTATGTGGGGACAAATCTTCATTAGACCTAAATACTCATCTGCATTTTACAGTTAACAGACAGGATCCTACAGACGAGGTTCAGAACTACATGGGACAAAACCTTCATTAGACCTAAATACTCATCTGCATTTTACAGTTAACAGACAGGATCCTACAGACGAGGTTCAGAACTATGTGGGGACAAACCTTCATTAGACCTAAATACTCACCTGCATTTTACAGTTAACAGACAGGATCCTACAGACAAGGTTCAGAACTATGTGGGACAAAACCTTCACTAGACCGAAATACTCACCTGCATTTTACAGTTAACAGACAGGATCCTACAGACGAGGTTCAGAACTATGTGGGAACAAAACCTTCATTAGACCGAAATACTCACCTGCATTTTACAGTTAACAGACAGAATCCTACAAACAAGGTTCAGGACTGTGTGGGACGTAACATTCAGCAGTGCCAAATACTAACCAGCATTTTACAGTTAACAGACAGGATCCTACAGACAAGGTTCAGGACTGTGTGGGACATAACCTTCAGCAGTGCTAAATACTCACCAGCATTTTACAGTTAACAGACAGGATCCTACAGACAAGGTTCAGGACTGCCTGGGCGGGAATTTTCACAAGAGCTTGGAAACTCTCACTGTAAACAATAATATTTACATAGCAAGGACTCCACATAAACCAAACAGAAGTAATTGTAAACTGAAGAAAAGTAAATAATATCCATCACATTTCCATTATGACAAATATAGCAACAGTATTGTCAAAATTATTGTAAGTTGTGTCTACATGAACAGGCTGCTGATAATTAATGAAATGTGCAATATTTTAGTTGTAAGATATGAATAAGACGAAATGTGTAGGAAACAAAAATACATATATAACTGCTTTGCTGTCAATTTTTGTTGATGAATAACACAATTGTATAAGGATTCAACATAACGCTTGCCTGCAAAGCTGGATCATTAATTTGGCAATGAATGGTTGAGTGTCACTCACAAACAGAATAGAATAACAGATTAGTAAACACATCATGTAGTAAATTTTTAAAATATTTTATATTACAGATCAAAATATCCGAGTTCAAATCCAAAAATTAACAGAGTTTTGTCGAAACTAACTGAAATGAATACCATTCCATGTATTATCTCCATAACAAATACTACTGGTGTTAGAAAATTAGGCCTTTAAGTTAAACAAAAGTCATAAGAACTTAATAAAAAAGAATCAACCCAGGTGAACTTTAACACAGGTAAAGCAAAGTTATTTTGGCAAACAATCTTGTGATTTATTCCAGAAAGCTACCAAATGAATTTTCTGACCTTGCCATGTCAAGACAGAAACACAGCATTATGGAAACAATTGTACATCTCATCTGTCCTGTTTTGCTAGTTTGAAAATAGTCAAATTGATATCACATGTATTTCTCCTCAAAAAAAATCTTCAAATTTCCAGGTACACGTTAAATAATAACTGCATAACAGTACCAAAAATATGCCCACAGAAAAATAACACCACATTCTCACTTCTGTTGCAGGTGAGACAAAGATGTTATGCTCACAAAAATGAGAAACATATTTTTAAAAAAAAAATTACTTCTTTATATAAAATGTCAAAATCTAAAGAAATACCTGAGTAAGGCCTGCAGGCAGCCAGAGTAGGCGTGGCACCTGGACATAAGGGCATGGTACCTTTGAGGGTATGATGTGGGCAAATCCTCCAGGGGTATGACCCTTGTTCCATCCTCCCCAGTGACAGGTGACATGACTGTAGGATAAAGAGTACCAAAATGAAGTATTTGGACAATGTTCTTAAAAATCAAGGCCATGATGACAAATGTCATTAATAGCACAGATCACAAGTCAATCAAGTTAAATGTCACTGATGGCAGAGGTCAAAGGTCACTGGTCATTACATGTTACACATCAGGTTTCCTAAGCATTTTTTTTTTGGAAGTTATTTATTTTGTTAGAAATGCATGAAATTGGGACTGGATGACTCTAGTACAATAAGTGATTTCCTTCAGTTCAACCTAATTCATTAGAACTTGAACTTGCATGCTGGAAGCATGAAAAAGATTGTTTGTTTTATTAGCACACTGTATAGCTAATAATATTCATGTGCAATATTTGTTTCATAAAATTTAGCACAAAATCAAATACAAACATTTTTACAACGAATCAAAATTGTTTCACATGCCTGTATACATTGATACAAATTGACAGATATGTGCAAAAATTAATTGTCTTGAACTAGCTCACACTGGGATAACCATGAAATATCATGTTTTGATGGAGCAGCTTGATTACAGTAATAGTTGATGATAAAACATGTCCTGTGTGATATATACAAGGTGAAAAAGTTTAAGGGTAGCTTTAATTGAATGCATTTCTCAAAATATGATAATATTCTATATTTAATACTGCATAATTGAAACTGAGAATTTATACTGGATGTACCAAATAATGCTTTATTTTACAAAATGTTTTTGATTTCTGTTGGTGCACTCAGGTATTGCTATGCGTAGTTTTTCTGATGGTTTCGTTACTGTATTCATTGTGCAATAAACCCTAATGACAAGTGTGAAATACCATACTTATAGAAGATATTTGTGTTCACAGATTGGTGGCAATCCTACTGAAACTGCAATAGATTTGGATGGGCTTAACACCAGACATGGGCTTATTGTAGATATGGTTACTGTAACACATACCACAATTTGTGCAGTTACTAAAGATTTAGAATATTATGTTAGTATTAATATCTCTAGTCATACCTGTGTCAAGCCCTTCATACAAGTGGTCAAACAATCTGTGTAAACTGTTGACCACTCGGTTAAACTGTACACTCCAGCCCTCTGTGTGCTTCAGGCCCATGTTTCCTCCACCTCCACACCGACTCAGCAGAGCGAAGCACCGCATCACTTCCTATTGATAACAGGTACATAATGTCATCATTTAATTAACACTTGGTGTGTACTACTAGATACCCACAGTAGACCACTCAGTTTACTTTGAACTTTTCTATTGAATGAAGTTTATATGAATAGAAATTATGTATAAGTAAGTGTAAACATCTTGTTCTTTTCTCTGAGACATAAAACTTGACAACACTTTCGTAATAAAAACATCTGGTTTGCCTAGGTGTGTATAAAAAGGAGTTTAAAAGAGTAACATGAAATGAAAACTGAAAAAATGTGATATTTCTGTTGACTGTGTATACAACTACAGAAAAAAAACTGCTTACCTTTGATACAACATCACAAGAGAGTTCCTTCACCACATATGAATCAATCTTGCCCTAGAAAAGCAATCATGATATATAATATCAAAAGGATTTCATTTCAAGAATTTTCATTTCTATAATTATTTACTCAATATTATTTATACATAAAGATGATTAATGCATGGATCCTTATAATGACAATTTCCAAACAGAAGCTTAGACCTTCCCAGTGTGATAGGCCTTAACACATTGGTCACTGTAAATCACTTAAATTTAGGGAATACTTCATTTCATAAGCTTACCACTTCAGGCATATTCAGTCATATTTAGTACACAGACCTAGCTAGTTTATCTTGAACATAGCACAAGAACAGATAATACACTCTGACTGTAGCACAGGAACCTGGGTAATTTACTTAAGAAGTAGTGCTGGAACCTAAGTTAAATACCTTGAATGCAGCACAGGGACCAGGATAGTTTGATATACAGCTGTTGATACAGAGGCATGCTTCATTTCTCCACTGTAATACAGAAAAGGTTTTCATAAATAGATATATCTAGTCAACAGATATGAAAATCTTTTCCCAAGCACACAGATATGACTTACATAGTAGATCAATAAGGTTTCTTGTGCGTGACAACTCATATGGTATGAAATATTGCACTTGATGACCTTCAGAACCAGAAGTGAAAGTTATTATAATATGCTGATCATATAGATAAAAAACAAGCATGTTGGCGATACAGACACAAACCCTTGTATATCATGACACTAGAACTGATGCTGTTATGTAATAATTATTTGTGTTATTTGAGACCTACATTTATCCTATTGCTATGAGCAGTTTCAGAAGACCTGCTTTGACTGGTGGTGGTATTGTTACGTCATTGATGTTCATTTGTTTATAGATAATTGGAAATTTTCACTGGAAATCCCAACCCTTGTGATTAGATTCTTGAAAGTCAAGCTTTTGGCAGAGCCTCGGGTTTAACATTCAAGACTGAAGACTTCTAAAATCTTTTACTTTTTGTTTACTATCACAGTTGATTAACTTGATAATTCAATATCAAAAATAAATCCAAGGAAAAGACAATATTGCTCATAATAAATTACTTTAAAAAGCAAAAGGATATGTGATTCATTAACATCAGAAATCTGAAGTAGTTAAAATATTTAATATCTTTACTTAATAGTCACTTCTTATCTTGTACACAAAATGTTTCTCCCATTCTTAATATTTAATTCAGCTGAAACCAGTTCTGAATTCAGGTATCATACAACTTATTACCTCTGTTGGAGCCGAGAGCAGGGCAGAGATGATCTGTGGCACAAGGGAGGTAACCTCCCGACTCAAGGATGTGAAGTCACTGACAATGCCCAGAATTCTGCTACAAACGTAACATGCCAGACGCTGTGTGCTTGGAGGATCATGTGACTACAAAGTAAAACCTCAAGATTAGTGTTAAACAATAATCACTTTCATTTTTTTACAATCGTGATCAGATGGGAGTTTTTTTTTTTTTTTGCTTTACATTTCAAGAGATCAAGGGAATGACTCAGATATTTGTTTTAATCTCTACGAAAACATTCTTTTCTGTATTACCTTATATGGCAAAGTTTCCATATGCATATACAAGTACACGTACCTAGAAAATTATGAAAATTATACATTGCACTAAATAAAAAGCAAATTCTGCAGCTGACAGACTTTTCTGTAAAACTTCCAAATTCACTAGGTACATGAAAATTCTGCCAACACACAACATAACATTTTAGGGTAGTGGCACTCACCTGGAAAATCTGAATCATGAAACGAATCCATGTGAGTGTATTGTGTGTGAATACCTCTGTTACACATTGTTCAAGTACTTTGTCGAGGAACACCAAACCTTCTACCCTAAAAGTGAAACAAGTAGAAATTACAAAATAAGGAAAATTTGGCATTTATGCAATATTCTGAGTAAACAGATAATGAGGAATGAAAGAAATGCATTTTTCAAAAAAAAATATCTATAAACTTTAACTATTCACTGAATTTTGTATAGAGATGACATCAATGAGAACACCAGTACATACATTATGCCAAGTGATTAGCAACATTTTGGTGACTCCTTTCACATCTCTTATCACTGCTTTGGGATAGGGCAATTTTGACTCATTTTGAGAAGTGAAATGGGAAGGAAGATTTCAAGTGTACATTGTAAAGAACAAGTTTTTGGAAATTTAACTTTAATAAGAAGTAATTCTGATTTGTAATGGGGCCCTTTAATGACCACAAAAGCCCTGATCAGCTGTGGCAGAAAACTGTGAACAAGTCTTTATGTATGGCTGACATTGAAAGCCTGTGAAAAGGTATCATATATGATAGAGATCGTACACTGGTATTAATTCCAGAATGTTGATGATGGTTTCCATGGCAATAGTACAGGAAAAATCATGTAGATTTTGTATATAATTAACTCAGATATATTTTTATCATCAAGATTATTGCTATACCCTCTTTTTCATATACTTACCTTTGCTTTGCTGAGTTCAGACAGGTGTTGATATGACCAATAATTTCATGCAATTTTCCTGGCTTCTGTTAGGAAAAAAAAAGCAAATGTTATCGTAATATATTTCACGATTTAACTAGGATCACCAGTGTAATGGCAATGACTCGTTCATGGACAATTTTTCATCATGTCTAAAGACTTTGAATTTTGATCAATATGATTGAGAGACTGGGCTAGGGAGTGCAAACCAGAAAACTCCAGACTGAATCGGGAAAGTTGGCAGGTATGCATGTGGCCCGAATCTGCATCAAAGGTATGCATATCTGTAGACGACACAATGAGTAAATGACGTCATATTGAATGTGTGTGTGTACGTGAAAATTATGCAACGATGAATTCCAAAAAATCACCTGAATTTAGACAAATATGCCAAAAGCATTAATTTCACTGCCTTACATGATTCGTCATCCATTTTTTCGACCTGCATGAAAAAAGTGTGACCGGACCTCACCTGGATGTTTGCCCTATACATTCAGATTTGACTACATAGCCAAATCTACATATATACCATATTTATTCCAATAAACGCCCCGTCTCTAATAAACGCCCCACATCTGTTTTCTCAGTAAATTTCAACAACTCAGGAGTCAGGTTACAAAGCTTACTTTTTAATAAATTTCAAATTCCTGGTATCCATGAACATGAACAAATGAATTTTGGCACAGGAAGATTACACTGTCATGACATGTACACAAGTAATATCAATTTAATCCACGGTTCATTTCAATATACTGCAGGCCTAACGGCCGGGACTGCCGTACAAACTACTGTCTTCACTTTCACCAGTCTCGCTTTCACTCAGTTCTATTTGTGGAATAGAAGGCGCGTTCACATCACCCATTAAATTTTGCAAAACGTCATCTGCAGCTTGGACATCCTTTTCACTAAACCCCTGAAATTCCTCATCGTCAGAATCATGCTGGAAAATATGATCCACGCTACCGTCCAGCGACTTTGTGATACCGCATTTTTTTAATGATCTTCTGATTGTGTATGGGCTAATGCTATCCCATGCTGTCTTGACCCAAGACAACATTACAGCTTTAGATGGGGCTTTACGATTCCCTGCTTTGGTTTTCTCAATGGGGCCACTGAAACACCATTTGTCATAGAACTCTCAAAGTTTTTGTTTGAAGGGTTTATTCCACGACACATCGGCTGGCTGTAGCTTACATGTGCGTCCTCCGGGTATAACACAGATGTCTAAATGATATTTCTGATGAACCAGTTTTTTTACATCTTCAGTAAGATGACCACGGAAAGCGTCCCATACTAATAACCGCCTAGCTGTATTATTCACACCCCAGAGTTTTTTTAACCAAAATTTTATACTTTCTTCGTTTGCCCAGGATTTTTGTCCGGCCCCGTACATGTATACCACAATACCTCTTAGTATATCATCTTTCGGATGGGGACAAATGCCTGGCATGTGCACAAGGAGGGGGGCGATTTTAGTCCCATTGGCATATGCTGCCAGTGTCACCGATATTTTTTGTTTTTCGTGGCCAGTACTGTAAACTCTGACCTCCTTTTCCCCTTTATTGCCAATGTCGATTTTCCTGGCATGTCAAACCACACCGCGGTTTCGTCCATGTTAGCGATATGGCTATTGGGGTATTCTCGTAGCCGACGCATTCTTAACACGAAATTCAAAAAACTGTCAATACAATCATCAATTAATGAAACTTCATGTTGTGCCACATGCATAGATCGCTTGAACGAAATGTTATGTCTCTTTTTGAATTTAGAAAACCATCCATATGAGGCTTTGAACGATTGACTACCATTTGCCTTATGCATACGCAGGGCCTAAAATCGCAATGCTTTCCCACTCACTCGTATTCTGGCCTCCCGTCTGTCCTGTAGCCATCTCATCAGATTTTTGTCAATATCTTCATATCTGACATGCCTCTCACCTCATTTACAGCGTTTAGATGTTTTAGAAAGATTTTTTAATTTTTCTTTGTTTTGACACCAGTCCTGCACTTGTTTTCTGTCAACACGAAACACTTTCGCGGCGAAGGCGATTACTTTAAGCTTGAAAGCAGTGTCGTAATTTCGTTTTGTCCCAGACATTGTTATCAGGTATGTGGGATTTATTAAGAAACAGACTGACTTATATACCACTGTGTTTTTTTATTTTGTTATGCAAACTAGGCCTACAAGCAATGATGAACATTGTACGTTTTTGACTGAAGCTGACACGATTGTTATCGTGTCATTTCATACAAGAATTCAGGTTATCAGAATGCAATTGACAACAATGTTTAAAGCTACAACGATGTTGGAATTACTGCAATTTTCAAATGCATTCTTTGCTGAGTAATTCGTTAGTTTGTTAAACAACGTTTTTAAGTGGCAGCCATGGCATGTCACGACCAACAAATTATGAAATTTTGTGTTCTATTAATCGCCCCGTCTGAAAAATTTCACACCCCCGGGGCGTTTATGCCGGTGCTTCAATACCTGGCCAGTATTATCCAAATATCAAAAGTTTAACCCTCCAGACTCTGGAATTGCATGCACTATTATAATATACACGAATAATTGGGACATTCCAACTTTCTATCTTCTGAATTTCCTTAACTTTATCAATATTATATTATTAGTAACTCACAGATCAGAGACAGACGTCTAACTAATGTAAATCACGGACAAAATTATTATGATGTAAATGTTACAACATACCTGCAATGTAAAAAGTTTGCTGTCTTCTGCAATATCAACAAGCTGTCTGATGCCCGACCTGGAACCCGAACTGTCGCAAAATGATGGAACGAATGAGAAAAACACGTTTTCAATCATGGATTCCGCCATTGTTGCAGTTACGCAGTAAATGTCAAATGAAGGGGTTTTAAATATTTCTAAATGACACTAAATTTATAAGAATAACCAAAGTCGACACACAGGTTATTTTCAATACATTTTGATGGTTTCGCTACCTTTTTTGGTATTATCAAAGTTATTTTGTGTTAATAAAAACTACAATATTCACTCCGTCATAGCAATATGTCGGCATCCATGTGTGGTGTTGTTGTTCAACAAACAGCGTAAATGTGTAGCTTCCAGCATATCGAGCCAACGTTCATTGGTGACAGTTTCCGATATAAGGTCGTCAGCTGAGATGTTTACACAGTGTATATATAATATCACCTCAATTGCAGTCTGGCAGAAAAAAAAGAACAAAGGTACTTTCATGCTCACCACGGACTAAATACTCGCAATGGATTAACTCAGTAGTCAAAGGAGAACAAAATAAGATGAGCTTTAAAGTTAGAAAGAAAATAATGAATACTATTCTTATGCAAATACAGTGTCACATTGACTCTATACGCCACGTGATTTGAGGTAAAAGTTTTGGTTTAAATCTACTTTAAATTCAAAATAAAATTGTATGTCAGTTTGCTTATGTCCTTAATTATTTCTCCATTTGATTTTCAGTTATCGAGCTTCTGGATTAAAGAATAATTTTGTCATACACAGAAGATGAGAAGTGATGTTAAAAGTTTTTGTTTTAATGATAAAAAATATGATAATTAAAACGAAATAAAAAAGTATAATTGATACATGAAAACTTCATGGAATTGAGGATCTAGACATTTCATTTCTACAACAGATAAAATGGAGACTGATATACCTGGAAATTTATCTGACAACAACTTACCTGGAAATTTACTTCACAATGACTTACCTGGAAATATTACTCACAATGAAGATGAGACGAAAAATCAAAATGACAGTTCATTAAATCAAGGTCTTTCGGATCATTCTATATTGTTAAGAAGCCAACCAAAAATATTTGATCAACAGGAAATGATGGTTGATTCTTTAATCAGCAATAGCAATCAAGTAGACAATAAAGAAGACAAAGATCATGGGGAAAGTCATAACACGGACATCTTTGTAGAAAGTCAAGGTCAAAATGAAGAAAGTGAGAGTAGCGGAATACAGCCAAGGAAGGAATTCGGAAAAGATGGAGATGTAAATTTAGATAATGAACAAGGGTGTACAGAAGACATCGTTGATAATGAAAGGACTATGATCACATTAACAGAAAGAGGAGAAAAACAGTCATTTAGTCAAAAGGACACAGTAATTGCATGTACATCAGAGGAAGGTTCCAATAATGATATTCCTGTAGTGTTTGCAGACTCTGATAAGCAAAACTTAACATTTACTTTAAATTCAAACACAGAAGGATTGGAACCGCCAATGAAAAGATTTAGAGCTGAAAAAGATTCAGAATCAGTGACACCAAATGATGTGTTAGAATCTGTGTCTGATAGAGAAACCAGTGGAACAGAAACTTTGGTTGATAATTCTGTTCAGTCTGAACCTGTGTGTATGCAGAAAGAAGATCAGGCCTTTGACTCTGCTGATGGAAAAGATATGAAAAGTGATGGCCAACAGGACATGCCCAGCACAAGTCAGACAGAGGAGGATGACATGCCCTACTTCAGGTATAGAGGAAAACAAACAACATAATATATCATTTCATCATAAAAATATAATCAGACAACAGCTCAGTTAGTAGAGCATCAGAATTCCGAATCCCAGGTGAAGATCTGGGGTGTGTGGTTCGATCCCTCCTCTGGCCAATTTTTTTTTTGTGTCTCTGGTATCTGAGGTCACTGATCATCATGTTCTGTCATAGTTGTGATCTTGGGCAAGAACGCTTTGATTTGATTGTCTGCCTTTGAAAGCATGCTTTACTGATCAGTATTTTTACCCTTCAAAACAGTTTTGAAAGAGACAAATGTAGTTTTGCACATATTTGGTATGATTTTCTGCTTTTTAAACTCATCAGATAAGGATTTCATTTGAGATACCTAGATATTTTTCTGCAGCTCAAAAGACCAAATCTCTGTCTTCCTGGTATTATTTTAAATAATAACTAGAAATATAGAGACTATCCACTATACATTCTGTACATGTATCTATATAATGTATGCTTTAAAAGTATCTGTCAAAATTATTTACAAAGGGGTTTTAATTTTTTGTCATGTCTCCTTTATAAATTAATGTGTAATATGTAAATCATAAGTTAATGAGATACCCTATATATGTGTAGAATTTACATTTGTAGTCAGGAGGGTATGGTACTTACAGAAAAACCAGAGTTTATTACTGATGCCATGACAGAGTTCAACACAACAGATGATAATTTCCTCAAGGGCTGCAAATGGTGAGTGTAAATTAAAAAAATTGTAATAAAGTTGTTTTACAAATATGTTGGCAAGCTCTGAAGTTTTTAACCTGCTTTCATGTTATTTATAAAACAAATATATTCATACTAACTTTCATAAGATGTTTGGTAGATTGGAAATCTTGGAATTTTTTCTTAGGGTCCAACTAAACGATAAGATCTTGTCATGAATTAAAGTTCATCAGTAATTTTTGTAGTAATTTTTCATGCGATTACAGAATATGATTTCAAAAATTTTGATTAGTCTCAATACCAAGAAATATAAACTCAAATATCTGAGTTCCAGAAATCACTGGTTCTAGGAGAAAAATGATGGAAGAATTATTTCAGTTATTTCATTATCTGATTTTGTTACTAGCTAGCGTGAACATTCATTTCATTTATTTTTTTCTATGTAAGTTGATGGTTTTAATTAAATGTGGAAATACGTGGAAAATATGTAGTCAGGTATTGTTATTCTCGTATTTTATATTTTAACAATGTTTTTTTACCCCATTTAGGGCCCCTGATGGGACATGTCTTCTCACCAACAGCAATGATAACTGTCTAAGACTGTTCAACCTTCCTCAACCTCTGTATGAGGGACAAAATGAGGGGATCCCTGAAATGGTACTTTTCCTTACAGCTTACAGATATAAAATAAAATTTATGTTTATTTAATGATTTTTGATAATTAACTATAACCTTACTTGAATACTAAATCATGCTGTAATAATGATATTTAAATACTGGGTTGTCGATAAATTAAAATCATTTATGTTCCTAAATTACTAATAAATCAAACAATAGATATGTCAGTACACCTATTCTAAATAAGTGTAATATTCCATTCACGTGATTGAATGTTTAATTCCTTTGTTATCAATGATTATAATCATCATCAGAAAATATCAAATAAAGAAAAAAAAAATGATATGAATTGTTTTTGCCACATTTGACTACAGTTCAACTACACCTAAAACATTGGTTTTCTCCTCTCAGCCCTTTATTCATTAGATATTATTGTGATAAGAATAAGTGATAAACTCTTATTTCGTTTACTAGCAATATTTATTCAGTAAATCAACAAATTAACATAAAAAAATTTGTGCTGTGATGTCCAGAGGACCAATGCGTAACTACCGAGAAGTAGACAGAACAAGAATATAACACTCGTTGACATTTCTACAGAAATTTATTATAGATTTGGATGGGTATATTAGAAATGCTATGGAAATTTAGGTAAATAGTTGAGGGGTGGGCTTATTGCCAAATAGACATGGTTTATACCTACACTGTACAATATTAATGATAAAGTTTGGATGTGTTTTTATTTCAGACCTCAGCCTTGAAATTTTCAGAAACTGACACCATCTATGACTACTGCTGGTATCCTAAAATGGTGTTTGATGACCCTAATACTCAATGGTAAAGAAAGATGTATTATTTGGTGTCTGAAGCAAGGCTTGGTAGGATTATGACCCTAACAAGGTCCTTACATGACAGAGCATTCTTACAATAATAAACGATTACTATTGGAGCTTAAGATTATATATCTGTAAGTTACTGAGAGTTTTAAGTAAGCAGGATATAACAGACAGACATGACAGATATGAAAGAAGTGTTTCCATATCCTCCAGACAAACATAATGGTTGATTGTGACTCACTTGAAATGTAAGCAAAATGAGGGGAAAATAAGGAAATAATGGTTTATTTTCTTGATAGCTTACAAGTTCTTCAAGGACATATTTGGAAAAAAAACATTGCCAGATATTTTGAATATTGAAATTTTACTTTGAGATAGAAATTTCTACATTTCCTACTAAGACATATGTAACTAGTTTATTCTTTTGAATTTGAATCTATAATTGTGTAGGTCTGACTAAAGTAAGATGTCTTATTCAATTTGAAACAGACTGACACTATCCAATGACTCATTGTTTGTTCATTTTATAGCCTTGTTGCTACATCGAAAGACGGCCCAGTACATCTATGGGATGCAAACACTGGACAAATACGATGTACATATCGTCCTTACAACCATCTAGTAAGTCATCAATTTTATGTTTTGAATTATTCTTCACAAGTTTTAGGAAATTCTGACATGAGAGGAATTAATATGAATTTGTGAGATTAAACATAATAAATAAATCAATTGTGTACATGTATGACATAGACACTTGTGTAACAGCAATAGCCACGATATCTCAGTCAGTAGATTGTTAGCCTACACAATCTCAGGTGATACCCAAGTTACATAGTTCAACACTCCGTACAGTTAATGTTTCTCAGGAAGCTAAAAAAAGGACTGGTGTGTGCTGTTGTGGTCGCGTTCTTGGGCAAGACACTTTACCCTAATTTTTCTAGGTTATATGCGACAGGTCTCCAATATGTTTTTCAAAGAGGCAGCCACCATCTACTATACTATAACGTGACCCCATCTCAAGATGACCCTGGCTGTCCATGGGGCAACAAACCAAGCAAATTAGAAAAAATAAACAAAATTTTTGATACTGGTATCATTAAGAAATATATAGAACCCCAAAAATTTATAAAAATAAAAAGTAATAAAAATTTATTTTTCTATAAGAATGACATTTTTAGACAATTTTTTTCTGACATTATAGAAGATATAATGTCATTTATTTATGATTTTACGGGAGTTATTACACAGCATGTGGTATTTATGATATTGTCATATAACAAGCTGGAACAGCCAAAATGAGTGATCAATGATTTTGATAAAACATGAAAAAAAACTGAACTTGATGTAACTAATTATTTGATTTTAAATAAAGTGATGACATTCTACTCATGAAAACAATAAGGGCAACTCTAAAATATCTATTCTACCCCAGTTAATAATGCATTAAATGTGAAATAAAGAATTAATGTCAGGAATGTTTCAATAAAAAAAGTAGAATTTAACAAAAAAATGTGTTTTTCTAATTTACTGATTTAGGTGACATAAAATTCCAATGTTACTCATGACTTTTGTTTTTTCCAGGATGAGATCACATCTGCCTACAGCTTAGCCTTCAGCCTTGATGGGACCAAACTTTATTGTGGATTTAACAAAATGATCCGGATATTTGATCTGGCAAGACCTGGGCGTGACTGTGTTTCCCGGCCAACATACTACAGCACCCAGCACTCAAAAAGTACGAAATGTAGATGCACGACTTTGACATGTGTATCTTTTTCAGAATTGATCCATCTTAAAAAATACATGTATATGGTAAATTTTTTTGATTGACAATTTGAATCAGGTTAACTACTGTAATCAAGTCTCTGGTTTGTTGATTGATAAGGGAGATAACTTTGATATCTGTAAAAATATCAAACTGCATGTACATTTATGGGAACCTGGAGTACATGAACAAATGTGTCTTCTTTTATTATAGTCAAACTTTAGTGCGTCTTGAAACATTGATTTCATCATATTTAATAACATCATTTTCTGTGTATGTTTAACACGTGTTTGCTAGTGATTCATAATTACACATGACTTTTTGCAGTCAACACATGTCCTGTATCTAGCTTTTACCTGTTGTCAAATTCATTCAGCATAGAATCACCTCTCTGTAACTATCACCTGTCTAACACAACAATCCAACCTGCCTTAGAGACCACCTGTCAATAACTACTCGCAAAACTGCTTCAGAGGCTACCTATCTAAATCTGTATACAGTCATACCTCTCTAAGAGATCACCTGTCTTCATCAAATCTACCTTTGAGACCACCTATGTATAACTTCAGTAATACCTCTCGAACAGACCACCGGTCTATAACTTCAGTAATACCTCTCTAACAGACCACCTATCTATAACTTCAGTTATACCTCTCTAAGAGACCATCTTTCTATAACAGAACTAAAGTCATTAAGTCATCACTTGCTTTATGATAACCTTTATTTTTCTACAGCTAAATCAGGTCAGCCTGGTATAATATCATGTATCGTCCCCAGTCCTCAGGATAATGGAATGTACGCTGCAGGATCTTACTCCAGGGCTAGTAAGTTTTGCTTTCTTTGGTTCCAGTTTCATGAACTCTCCAAACTTGTGGAGATTCTTTAGGTTTGTCTGTAAAAATATCTTGTTAGACATACAGTAAGGATTGCAACAATTTTTTTTGTAATTTCTTCTTAAATGCTCTTCTCCAGAAATTTTCTTATGTTAAGGATATTTCTGTTGTAACATCATTTTATTGTCAGTCTCTAAACTCAATCAGTTATTTATAAGAAAGAAATAGTGCATTGGTACTTACTGTTACCTCAAAGTAATATATGATGTATATACTGTGTTAAGATATGTCACACAAAGTACATCTTACTATTGAATGAATGCAATTGAGGATATCATTTAATAATGTACAGGTTTAAGACAATCTTATGTAATGTACACATGATATATGTGAAATAGAAATTAATTTGTAGTTTTTATGTATATAATGCATTACACATTACATTGTATGTAAAATAGAAGTTTATTTTTTAATTTACCCTTTTCTTAGTATTTAAGTATTTCATACTTTGTAGATGTAAAATAAAAGTTGATTTTGATGTATATGTGAAAGGAAAATTTATTTTGATGTTTTGTAGTTGCTGTGTACTGTGAACCTAAAGGGGAAATGGCATGTATGTTTGATGGACAGCAAGGGGGAGTAACTCACCTGGCCTTTTCCCCAGATGGAACCAAGCTCTATAGTGGAGGTCGTAAAGTAAGTAACATAAACTAGTTTAGATGTTATAATTTACAATGTACTACAGTTTATTTCACTTTCTCAATGGAATCTGTGACCTGTGTTGTTCATATTTGACCAGTGTAGGTATAATGAAATTTAAGAACCAGATATTGTTACAACCAACATTGAAATTTGAATTTGAGATCAGATGCTATTACTTATTTTTTTTCATAATGAACATTCTACTTCAAAAAATGGATGTCCATAGTGTGTCATGCTTTTGATTATATATGTTTTGATTGGAAAGTTTCACCTAACTAGTTAATCAGCATTCTACCAATGCCTACTAAAATCTCACCAATTTTATTGAATTACCAACAAATGCTAATTCTTGTCTGTTATAAAATGATTTTTTGACTTTGAATCTCTGGGGTAATGTAATTAACCCTAGGGCTTATTGAAGTAGTAATTAGTCTCATATATTTTTATAACTTACAGGATCCTGAAATTATTTGCTGGGATTTACGATATCCAGGGCGAATTCTATTTGTAGCTTTGCGACAAGTGCTGACAAATCAGAGGATTTATTTCGACTTGGACAGGTAAGACAATATTTCAGTCAAATATCAATCATGGATATCTTTCTTGTATCATTAGTAACTACTACCATCAGATACTTCAAAGTTTTCAAAAGAGACATTATCAGAAAAAGTTAGATCTCATATCCTTTAATGTTAAAGTCTGCACAAAGACAGAATATGTGTTTATAATCTCGCTGAACTTTGTAACTTCTGAAATATTACTAAATTTAATTCAGAGTAAAAAAAAAAAAAAACTCTGAGAAGATAACATCCAAAAAATTCATGAGTTTGTACCAGTAAACCTACAAAACAGTACTATTGTCACTGTAAAACAATGCTTGATACCTTTGAAACTATACTGTTGCATATTCTGTTCAATCTTGATTACCTTCGTTGGTAGTTAAATGATGCTAAGGACATCCCCCCCCCCCCCCCCCCAATACAATAATTTAAAGAACAGCCTTACACAAAATATATTGTGTCTTGATTAAATTATCAAAATAATCACATGATGTTGAATGAACTGTATTGTGTTGTTACAGGAGTGGGCAATATCTGTTCTCTGGCAGTCATGATGGTACAGTGAATATATGGGACACTACCATTGCTCCTGAGGAGTTGTTTCCTGGGCAGGACCCTGTCTTAAAAGTTATCAATACATTCCAGGCACACAAAGACACTGTCAATGGCATCAGGTTTGTGACATTGTTCCTGTTTTATAGTAATCTGCAGAAGAATTATGACACAACACAAAATAATGTGGGTACCATTTGCTAAAAGAGAATCCCAGGTTAAACACAAATTAACATTTTTGAATCAAGATTGATCTAGTTACACGTTCCTGTTGAATCAAATGATTGTTATTGAAGCTGAAAAGCTGCTTTCTACATAGATTAGGTTGTTGATCTGTTATCTTGTCAGCAGTAACAGCTTAAAAACCCTATTGAATGATAATTTTCATAATTTTTTTTGTCTCCTTTCAGTTTGCACCCATACTTGCCAATTTTAGCCTCCTCTTCAGGCCAGAGACATTTCTCCTGCGTAGATGATAGTGACAGTTCTGATGACGAATCCAGTGACATCATCGAGAATAATCTCAAACTTTGGGCATTTCCAAAATCAAAGATTTGATATTTTTTCGTTTTAAATGTACCGCAAAAACATTATTGGCTCAAGCTATTTTTAGCCCAAGTGTTTTGTGCCAATTTTCTGAAATACTTATGTGTACATATGTCTTCTGGTTTTCTGGATTTTTTTTTTAAAAATTCAGAACAAATAGTGCAATAACACAATTAAAGGTGTTCATTGGTGTCTACAGTGGTGGTGGAGGAGATCAAAATATCATGTCATATCTTAGACATTTAACTGTGTAGAAATGGCATTTACTTATTTTATAAATGCAATATCTATGAAGTTCTATAAGGTATATTCACATTTTCTGCACATTTTGCTGTTTGTATATATTCATTCACTTTAAACTTAATTAAGTTGTTAATTAGCTACTGTATCTAGCAATTTGGAAACACATACGGCAGATTAAGCTCGCTCACTCAATTTGCATAGCTGCCATTTTGGATTTTGAACAAAATTTATAGGTATAGCAGGAGAACAAAGAATGGGCGCATTATTGAAATTAATGGGGCCAGGCACATTTTAACCAGTTTTCTGTATGCATTGATGGAAAGAGATGATCAATATGTTATTGTTTCGAGGTTCCTATACAGTCTTTGTCATCATGTTACAAATTGGCATGATATCACAGTTTTATGTAATATACTGAACTGATTTTAAGGTTCCGGAGACCTTTGAAATGATTGATAATGTATTTGTGCTCAAAAGTTAAAGGGGCCAGCAACCTGCCAGTAACTAGGCTTATAACTTGCAGGAATGGTATGATGAAAATCAAAATTGTAATGAGTGAGGTATTCTGAACCTGATGTCAACCTTTTTTCCCAATAATAATTAAATTGCTACAGTATGAGAGGCCATCAGGGGGGCTATCTCAGTGAGTGCTTGTGAAGGTATAGAAAGTCTACCACAGTTCAGATGTAAATGTGACTGAAAAATTTTTATTTTGAATACTACTAAACAAGTGCAATTGTTGATAAAATAGTATAAATTTAAACTTACATGCTCATTCATTAAACTGCATTTACAAATAAAAAAGAATAAAGGTTTTTTTTGCCTCTGTGTCTAATATTGAATACAGAGTAAGTAAATAAAGAAAAGAATTATTTGTACCCCCCTCATCCTGCCTGTTTTCATGCTTGCCACCTCTCAAGTTTTGATGACATCACAAATATTTTATCTTATGAATATTCATGAGTTGAGTGAGCCTATTTCTCCACACGAATCATTTTGACGGTAACCGTGAAACGTTAATCGACTCCATAACTACAATTGTGACATCATGGTAGTCACACCAGTAAAAGTATCTACTGTAGAACTTTTTACATAGATCTGTTTTGGTAGGTATATATCACAGATATCTCATGCAAAAGTAAATGTAATAGGGAGGATGCACATTGAAGCTGTTTTTGTGTTGTTGGAATTTGATGGTCTCCAACAGTTTCTTTTTTCATCTGTTTTCTGATATTTGTATGCCTTTTTTATTCTGTTTGTTTTGACTTTTATGTACACAAGTGATAAATTTTAAATCCTAAATATGTCCAGGTTTTTGCTAAAAATAATATAATATTTCTTTAACACTAAGCTTGTGTGAGTAAAACTGAGTCATGAGTAGCTATCAGTTGAGTTAACACTAAGCTTGTGTGAGTAAAACTGAGTCATGAGTAGCTATCAGTTGAGTTAACACCTGGTCAATATCACTTTTGATGTAAATATCACAATGAAATGGATTGGGTATCAGTTAAGATAATTCAGTTATTCATGAAAATCACATAATTTACATGGTTTTATTGATTCAGAAAAAAAATGTATTCATACCATATATGGTCCTGAGATAATTACATGTTATTGTTTGTCACATAATGCTGATGGGACCAGTCACTTGTCAAAAAATCTCTAATGATAAAAACAAAACAAGTGAAAATAAAATATCTCAACAATATAATTGATTTTGTGTGATTTGAAGTTACAGTTACATTGAATGGAATTGGCTTTACTTCAATACAATGAATTGATTGATTGATTGATTGATTGATTGATTGATTGATTGATTGACGCAGATCTCTTTCAATCTCTGCTCCCCTGGAACATTTCCTGGCACAAAGCACAAGCAAGTTAATTCATCGGTCAAGAGCGGGTTTCAGGAGAGAAAAAAATGACCAATCACAGACTGATAAGCTCCTTTGAAGATTAGAAGGAACAACACCCGACCTCATAGTCAGTACCACATACCATTATGTGACCTCATCTTTCCTACAAGGTGTCACACATGGAACCTTCAATTTTGTCAAGAAATGTTTCAAAGATGCAATGGAAGTGATAGTGAGTGTAACCACTCAATTATTGAGTTTGATAGTTTGGGTCCAAAATTATGCCAAGGTATTGACTTTTTTAAGGTACTCAATACGTACTCAACTGGCGGCATTGCCCACAACAGAATCACGAGATATTGTAATATATATAGAAAACAATAGGCTACTACAACAAAATATAACACAATTTAGCAACACTTCATTGCAGTTGCCGATGGTGTCAAGATCTGCTGACTGGGGCCCATACCTAGGGCTCTGTAAGGGACACATTAGGGCTCCTCTCCTGAACATCAGAGCCCTGAACAATACTCCCCACAATAAGCAGAATGTCCCAGGATACCCAAAGAGACTGCAACAGGGAGGATTACTACTGATTCTCCAATTCGTTGGCGTATACTGTCACCTCAGGAAGTCTGCGGTGTTCTCCTCTGTGCCCCATCCCTGCATATACACCCTTAAAAATAGTTCACACGATAGGTTGGTTTCATTAGTTGCATAAGTTTTAAGTGAAACAGCACCATGAATGCTAATGACAGAACACCTACATATACGATTTCATGAAACCAATATGAGCCTCTTAAAACGTCACTATGTCCAAATTTGACAACATATTTAAATATGCAAATTACATTTTACTAGATATTTCTTGTGTACGCTTGATCAGAAACAATAACCCAAAGCAAGCGATGTGATTCTCTATCAACACAAGAAATCATTTGCTGTAAATTGCCTTATTAGTTTATTGCTTGTATTAATGTATTTTAAAGAAAAATACTGCGATTAGTGTTGTAAACACATGTGTCCAATTTTCATATCATTTACAATCAAATATTTTTAATCAAATTCATATTGGGCTGCCTACACTTCTTCTACACTCCCCCCAAACCCAACCCTCCTCCCCCACTCTCTCTCTCCTTAGTACTGTCATTCTGAACCAACCTTCGTCTCCTTGTTGTTGCATTCTTCCATCGCTGAAAGTACACTACCCCGCTTTAATATATAATCCAAAGTACAATGACAATGGCCTGCTATTATTACATGTTCAATGATAGCATTTCATAGAGGAGACAACTGGAGAACTTACCACTGTGGATCGAAACATTTCTCAACAAACAAAGAAGAGAACGCCGTAGGTAACCTAGAGCACACCGAGGTAATGCACTCGGTTCAAACGGACGCTTTAAAACGACCAGTTTCAATATTGTAGTTATCAAATTTCCCTTCGTTTGGACTTGTAAATAACAAAGGTGTTAGTAAGTCGTTCAATGCCATTTGATAAGAGGAAAAGTTTGGGAAGGAAACTGGTAAATCATAGGTATAATATACCAAGTCTTTAAATTTTCTTTCTGTTACATTTTCACAGAGAATGAAGTATACAATAACTTGATCCAAACTAAATCTGTATCCATAAAGAGGGCGGGAAATTAGCACTATTCTTTTACTTTGGAGAGTTGACGGTAACCATATAATATCGTCGTGTTTTACATGAACCTTATAGGTGATGATCCGATAGAAATTGCTGCCAATCAATCACGAGATATGACTTGGCACAATGGCAAGAAAGCAGAAAAAACATCGAATTTCAATACAGGGAATAAAGAATATATTCAAATAGATAAATGAAAATTCAAAAAGAAAGAAAAATAAATATATAAAAAAATAAAAAAATAATAAAACAAACAAAGAACTATATAAATATATTAAAGGAAAAATAATAGTAATAAAATGCACCCCGACTGAGCGTCGATCTTTTGGCTCAACTACCATTGGACCCACTAGAGGGCGTGATGTAATGTTTACATCCGGTTGTTCAATTCTGAGAAACCCGTCAAAAATAAAGTACTAACTGGTATAAAAAGAAAACTAGACCTTACAATGAGTAAAACATTTACAAGCAAGCCGTCAGTGTCATACGCACGAGGACGTGGAACGCGACAGACAACCGAGTCAACAACTAGACCAAAACCTGTAAATAGGGACTCTTCACCAACCCGAGCTCCTCCACCAGGACAACCTCGAGCGCCTGTAAACCGAGGAAGAGGCCGAGGTGTCGCTACAAACGGACGAGGCGGAGGACTTTCGTCAGTCAGAGGAAGGGGAATGGATGTCAACCAGCCCTCCCAGGATCAAGGCGAACCGCCTTCACAAGAACAGCGAACGTCATAGTAAATTGATATATATATATATATATAATATCATGCTGTAAAATGAAAGTAGGACTGTGTTCATGCCTTACCATTGCCAATATGTAATCACAGATTATATTGTACGGAAGTTAATTGACTGCATCCGCCATTATGATTAATATACGCAATACACATCTGTATCACTTTACATGTACCAACGATTATGCAGACTGATTATCCTATCACTTGTCCTATGGGTCACTGAGAAAAAGTTGTCTAAAGAATTTAACACATTTTACCACTGTGACCATGACACTAAGTCAAGGTTATTCATTCGAACAAATTTGGTAGCTGTGCACCCATCAAGCTATGTTCTGTAAAGAAGTTGTTAGAGAATTTTAAACATACTAAGGACAATCATTTGAACAAGCTTGATATCCATCCATCCCAAAGTATTGCAGACCCAATTTCTTAACCCCACGGAGGAAAACGTCTTAAGATTTCAACACATTTGACCATGAACTTGGATCAGTGTCATTTATTTGAACAAATTTTAACCATCTACTCAGCTAGTAGCAATCATGTGACCATTAGATAGGCTCATTATCATGACCTTGAGCTTATTGGTTATAGAGAAGAAGTTTGAAATATTTTATGACATTTGACCCCTGTTGCCAAGGAAACAAGTCAAGGTCATTCAAGCTGCGCCACAGCATAAGCTCACTTGCTCTTTCAAAAGAAAAAAGAAAAAAGAAAAAGAAAAAAACCCAGAAAACATTGTGTACTATTCTAGACTGCCAGTTCAATATCAAATAGGATGGACACTGTTACCCAGTTAACTGATTGAAAAGTGTCCAAAATATTGACCACTGCTTATTGATGTAACTGTAAATGTAATGAAAAAGGTTAAACACTGGGAATTTAAGTACACTAGATATTGTTAATGCAAAGTACCAGGTCATCGGCTATTGACACAATCCATATAAAATCAAGCATAAAAGATAATTCCATAGCTAACTTGGTATTGGTCGTGTGCATTTAATTACTAGGTCACCAGACATAAAAAGGTTAAGGATCACTTCCTATGCATGTTTTCCCTTGGTACTACAGTTTCCTCCCACAGTAACAACCCTTGACAAATTGGCACCATGGAATGATATGATATTGTCTATGCTGTATAAAATTGTACATCTTTTAAACATCAGGAGAGAATTTGTTTGTAATATTATTTTGTTTTTTATTCTTCATGGTTTTAATCAATATTATATTGCCTCCAAACATTCATGCATATAGAGTGCTAGTATTTTAGACCCAAAGTTGATAGTTCCAGTAGGAACTTTAGGAGATATTTGGGACAAAAGAACAAACTTAATTATACATGTATTATTTTCCTTTTTCAGTCAGGGAGGATTTACTATGATAACACCAAATGAAAAGAAACGTCAAGCCGTCAGTGAACGTAAGTTAACTGATTCATGACATCATGATATCATTAGATATCTCAAAGGTTACAAGATTTCAAGGAAATTTCATTACACATTTTGCTGTAATGATATATTTTATTACCATTATAGGTAGTATACAATTAAAATTAATTGAGAAAAAATTGTACATTGCTACTCAAAGTACAAAATAACCAGAATTATGATATCAGGAACATGTAGCAGATTGATGCTTGGATTTCTTGTATTTAAAGAAATTTGATTTCTGGTGGGTTTTTTTTTTTTGTATGACAGAGGCCAAACGTGGACTGGAGCAGTACAATAGTCACAAACAGCAACAGAAGCTAGGTCATGTCAGCTATGTGGGAACGGCTGGAGGAGGTCAGATGACCATGGAGGAATCGAGACAAAGAATAATTGATGGAAATCGATTTGGAAAAGTAGACAGACTGGTAACTATTGGTCATGTAAATTGCTTTTAGAAGGTGAACAGATTAAGAACAGACTGTTTCTAGATAGAAAAATACTTTGTTCTGTAGTTGTTCAAATTGTTCATTGTCCGACTGGTCCTTCGTCAAATTGTCCATCTCTACTCAATTGTTCACTATTTCTGCAGAAGAACTGGAAGAATCATTCTCAAATGTTAATAAGTACCCTAGGTCTTTTCTTGAGAGGCACTGGATCAGTTTCATATAATCAATCAAGAGCTAATAAGAGAAAAGACAAGAAAGATCCATCTAAAAATTTATCATATAAAGAGCCAGTGAAGGTCAGAGTTACCAGTGTGTGTACCACGATCCCTCTGGAATCTCTTATCATCTATCTGTCTGACATGTTGTCATAGTTATCTTATGTGACGGCACTATTGTAAGTACATACTACATTCACATTACATAGCAAAAACAGCAGCAGTACAAAAATGAAAGAAAACAGAAAGAAGAAGCAGAATATGAAAAAAAGAAATTACAGCAGAGGATGAAGGTACTGTTATTGATGGAATGTCTGTTGTAGTTTTATATCAATTTATATCTTTTGTATAAGTATTTCTTCATATGTAAGTGATAATTTCGTCTCTGTCAATTAAAATGTTAATTTAATTGCTGTAGTGAACCAAGATTAGGCCCTTTATACCTGTAGATTTCTTTTCGTCATGTAGATATTTTAGAGGAAAAAAATGTGTTTGATGTTAATTCTTCATAAAGGAAAGTTTATAAAGTTGAAGCATGAATATGACCAGTGTCTTATAATGTTGTTGGTTTAATGAACAACTCATACCACTGAATTAAAAAGTGCAGAACACCTGATGTCAAAAGTTTTGTAAAGTGATATCATCAGTTTGCTCTACATTTAATTCTTCAGGCTGAGAGTAACAAACAAAGAGAAGTAAGTCGGCAGTCACAGGACCATATAAAATATGATGAGGACAGGAGAAGGTAAAAATTATGTGGAAAAGATAAAATTGTTAATATATGAATGTGGAACATTTCGATTTTATATCATATATAGATATTTTACTAATGTTGATAATTGCAATACAAATGCGCAAGAAACAGTATAAGTTTAACAGAAAGTTTGTAAAATTGTACTCGTGACATTGGAATCTAACTTTAATGCTAAGGACCTATCATTCTTTGTATATATTGTATATTTTTAATCTTAACAGAAAAAATGAAGAGTTCCTTAGGAAATTAGAAGGTAAAAGTAGACAGCCAGCTGCATCTGCCTCAACCACAGGTAAAATTTACGTAAATAACTTAATGTTCTATTAAAATTCAGCTTGCCCAACTTTAATTTGAATGATGTAAGAATTGAAAATGGTACCCAGGTAGATTTATTTTGATGAATTTCTGTGTTGATATGAGATTTACAAAAGCAATCTACATGTAGGTTTAAAAAAAAAAACATTATGTGTTAAAATAGAATAATTTAAGTGAAAAATTTCAACAATATTATGTGGTTTTGTAGACTCTTTTGGCAGCCACCATATTTCATCACAAATTTCTACAAATTTAGGAGACAATCAACTGATATCTCGTGGGCTAAAACATGAAATGGCAATATCGTTCAGGGGTCCGGAAAAGCACTCGTCCGGTCGTCATGGACGAGTGAAAATTGTCTCGGACAACCAGATATTTCATGGTACTTTTTCCAGTGATATTAATGTTACAACTTAAATTTCAATAAAAATGTAAAGAAAATTTAAAACAAAGAAACATGTTTACGGTACTTCGAAAACAAAATATTCCAGTCCGCTCTCTAACTTTCGATTACACCGGAACTCCCATGACGTCAAATATAGCATTCGGAATACCTTAAGCATTTTCTCACGGTTATACTGATGTCAGGTGCTCTCATTCTTAACAGCGCCTAGTCAGTCAGATGTAAACAAACACTACGACCAGGCCTAAGTCGAGCACAATGTCTGATGCAAAGCAGCCATCACTGCATAGTTTTTTGTTCACTAAAACTTCAAATAAAAATACAAAAAAGTCACATGTCACATCCTCGCTGATTAAGTCGCCATTTCATAGCTGAATTTGGACGAGTAAATTTCCAATTCGGAAGAGTAAATTTTTCATCCCACCAGTCCTGTGCCTAGTGGTTTAAAATATTTTTCCAGACCCCTGTCGTTCACAGATAATTTAACAAAATTGTGGAGCAGTATACTTACTGTGAATGAAATGAATTCTTTACATTATTTGGGTACTTGAGTTTTTCAAATAAGAGAAAAATGAAAAATAAAACACAAAATTGAAGTTATAGTTGTGAGATGGTTATAGATAATTATTAGGGCACTCCAGTGATTTTATGAAAATTTAAAGGTCAGTTGCTGCAGTAGTCTATAAATATATTCTTATTCATTTTACCACTGCCTTCCTCAGTATTTAGTGTGATTATTGATGTCTAAAAAGTGGAGTAACAAAAAAATCATGGTTCTGAAGATGGGTTTTTTTAGAAATAGTCATCATAATTAATTGTCAGTTGCTAAAAAGAGAAGACTTATCTTGTGTTTTAGGATTGTATAATAAACTCAATAATTCAAGATAACAAATTAAGAGATATAATTATGTGATCTATTTTCTGACAGTATGTGCTTCATCTACAGACAATTCTCCACTGCGACTTGCTGCTCCTGCTACATCACCAGACAATCAGAGTCAAAGGTCATATGAATATACTCCAGTGGTTCAAAGTTCACAGCAGTTTAACTCCTCAGGAGTTCAAAGTTCACAGTTCACTGATGAAGCAACAGGAGGTCAGAGTTCAGAACTTGAGACATTAATGTCTATGTTCCCAATGTACAGTACAGAAATCCTAAGTGACTTCCTAAGTCAGACAGGAAACAATGTGGACCAAGCAGTGCAACTTTTGACTCAATAAAAAAATAATTATGATATAAATAGAAAGTATGTTAATGACAATGTAATTTTAATGGAAGTGTGAAACTCTGTGTTAAATAATGAAATTAAGGAAGATTTTGATTGTTGTGTGAAACATTTTGATATATGGCCGGTGTTTTATGAGAAATATGAAATAACTGAATTGGTAATATAAATGTATTCCAGAACAGGGCTAACTGGGAATAATCTAACTTATTAAAAACCAGTGGATTATAACTGTGAACCAATTTTCTTTCAAAAAATCACAAACAATTTCAGGAAATGTTAAGTGTCATAAATTAAGACAGAGATGATAATAATTTTCATTACAATATGTATTAATGTGTGACTCTATACACATACTTTACATACTAATCCAGGATCCATTTTATCATAAATTATGAATGACACATATTACAGATTTTTTTTAAGCCAATGACTAATTATTTACTGTAAGGTCATATATTTTTGTGATGCTCTATTTTCCTGGGGCACAATTTTTGGCTAATTATAGCCAAATAAATATACTTAACTGATTTTAATAGTTGGACACATGGATTCATGGGTTAAGAGTATCCATGAAATCAGAGCAAATATATCCTCCACAAAAATTATTTATGTATCAGTATACATAAAGTTTATTCTGAATCTAGTTAATGATTAATTCTACACAACACATCACAAAACATAACTGTTTGTTAATGGGAGGTATCACTTGTGTTAAAATTTCAAATGTGATTCAAATAGTTACACTAAATGACATTGCAAATATAAACCATTAGTTTATATATTTAAACGGGTTATTTAAATTTGATATTTATGTGTACATGCATAAAGCATGTTTAATAAAACAGAAGTGAAGAGTACTTGATATGGCCTCATGAAAAGCTGATTGCTGTGTTTACAATTCTCTAATTTTGCTCTGATTTATTGAAGTACATCCCAGAGTGTAGAAAATTCATTGTTGATTAATGGTGAGGGTTCAGATGTGAACACATGGCTGGTTAAAGTAGACTAGATAGGGCAAGAATATTTTCATTTTTTCTGTAGATTAAATAAATGAATTTCAACGATAATTCTGTGAGGTTACATTACAATGTATTTGATTGGTTCATCCAAAGTTTGCCTACAATTTCTTCATTGGACATAAAGCATGAATATTGATGAACTCAAATGTCATCAGTGATTATTGAACACCACATAATCAGTGATCTTTGTCCATCTACAGGTGTTACAAAGGAGTGAGCTTCACATGATTTTTTTCTGAGTACTGATTGTGAAATCTGGCAGAATTCAGTTTTTGATTCTTTTTGATTGATTTAACAAAGATATTGCCCTTTTGTATGATGATTTTCCATTTTCACACCATGTCATTTTTCATTGTGCCTTTTTCACATTCATGAATGCAAAATTGTTAACTTTACAGGTTGTTAAATGTGTGAAGGATAATTTCTTCACTTTTCTGAGGTATAACTTCCTCTCTGTTTAAAGATCATCCTTACTGTATATAAAACTTATTTAACAAATATAGGGTAACTACTTATGGGCCTTGACTGGCGGAATGATAGCCCTCGACAAAAACAGTGCTTTGATGTTTACACATCTCCCTTTAATCTGTCTCCATATGTCAAATATATGAAAACAAACAAAATTATAAAGACATTAATGGTGAAGTTAAATTAACAAGGCCTTATGTAATAGGGCACGAAAAGTTCAGTTGAAATTTTTTTCGTTCTTTTCTTCTTGGTCATTATTTTCTCATTTCCTGCATTGTGAATAGAAGTTTTCTGTTATATGGAAAGGATGTGGTATTAATCATGTTAGGACTCATTATAGCACACTAGCTTGCAGAGTTATGGCCATTTGTTATCATATCTTTGTTTCAAATTTGGATACATGAATGAAAATGTATTAATATCAAGTGAAGGTGATATGTTACATTTCAATTTCAAACCACACATGAAAATAGAGTGTAATGTATTCAAATTCATGTATTATAGTGTACATGTATGTATTTATGATAAAACTATGTAACTACAGTTCATTATTATTTCCTTTACCATATCCTACCTGTCTTACCTGTTTAATGCCACTTTTCACCATTTTGTACAGCTTACCTGTTTAACATACTCTCTCACAAATTTTCCATTTTGCTCACACATTATACACTGACTGTGATATGTATTGCTGAATTCAAAGTATGCTTTAACAATATATTATGTATATTCTTATCTCAAATTGTTTGTCCTTGTCAGTTTTGCATATACTTTTATCACATAATTAGCCTCTTAGCAGTCTTTCATTGGCTGCACCAGTTAAAAATCTATCATGATGTCATATGTCATGAATTGAAAACAGTTGCAACAATATGGCTGCCTGTTTTAGTCCTACACAGTTTTACTTAAAAACCTGTCAAAGGTAACTTTTCTGAGTTATGTAAAACAAAAAATTTTAAATGTTTTCATTTTATATGAGATTTTATCATCTTGTCTTTGAGTTTTTAAATTTTTCTCTAGCCTATATAGAAAAACTGTCAAGACTTGTTCCATGAAACCTCCATAAATGAAAACTCACTTGATTAAGACCCACTATGTATTATCAGTTGTAGGACTAATGTTTTCAATGTGTTGTTAAATTATTTTTTGTGGACCATTGTTTGTTTTGAATTTGTTTAGGAAAGTCTCCCTAAATGTATTGCCAAATTCTTTACTATATCTGTGTTATACTCAAGTGGCAGTATAACAGAAATTCACTTGTTGCTTGTTACATTTGTTTATTCAATTTCTGTCTGTCTATACATACATAAATTATGCACAACTTATAGACTGAACAGATTTTCAGAAAAAATATAAATAAAATATTTACGTAAAAGAAAAAATATTGTTGTTTGTTAATAAGACACACTAAGATTTGACAGAATTAGAGACAAAATAAAACTAGTTTTTTCCCAGATCATTTCATACTGGGTAAAAACGTGTTAATTTACAGATGATGCATGTGACAAGCATCTTACTGAATCATTTATACATGTGATCTCTTTGAAGAAAATAAAAGGAATTATACAGAAAGAAAAAATGAAAATGATTGGACTTCATTTAGGTGTAGCACTTCAGTATTCTTATGTAGAAGTTGAGAGTATATGTTGCCTTACCAGCCTCAGTTAGTTGGAATTTCCCTTTAGTTGAGCGATAAAGTGTCCGGCTAGAGACCAAAGGGCCACTAGTTCAAACCCCAGTGGTGACAGTGTGTTTTTTCACTACTCCTTCCTGTTACAGATTTGATGTCATTGACCACTCCAAGGGTAGAAGCTATAGGAGATTGAGGCGCTTCCTTGGCAATATTGAACTTGGGTTGTTGTTGTCTTCGGATCGAAGACTTTGTGAAGGTGGGAGTAGTGTAGAAGTTGAGAGTACAGGTTGCCTTAATAGCCTCGGCTAGTGGGAATTCCCCTTTTGTCGAGCGGTAAAGTGTCCGGCTAGAGACCAAAGGGTCGCTAGTTCGAAAACTAATCAAAATGTTTGTGCATGTATATTGAAAGTTTTAATGTGTAATTTTGTAAAACAAAAAATTGCTGGTGTCAAATGACTTAGTCCTGCAATTTTGCCAGTACTTCCCAGTCCTTGCCTACAATAAGTTTATTTAACAAATGAATTTGGTAATCATTCAAGGTCACAATGTCTAAAATTATTACTTGTAACTATGAATGTTCCATGAGACAAAATGTTAAGATCTTTCATGTAGGAAGAATCAGTTAAAAGGCAATCATGGTTAGACTGAAGTTTGAGCATTCTAGCTATAGGCAATCATGGTTAGACTGAAGTTTGAGCATTCTAGCTATAGGCAATCATGGTTAGACTGAAGTTTGAGCATTCTAGCTATAGGCAATCATGGTTAAACTGAAGTTTGAGCATTCTAGCTATAGGCAATCATGGTTAGACTGAAGTTTGAGCATTCTAGCTATAAGCAATCATGGTTAGACTGAAGTTTGAACATTCTAGCTATAGACAATGATATAAGAAATTAAAGTTTGAATGTGTTAAGTGTATTGAATACTAGATTGCAGGACCAATGGACCTCTTCTTCTAACTTGGAACTAATGAAATGACTTATCACAAAAACCTCAATTTTGTTGTAACATATTCCTAAGATGAAAAGATTTAATATGAAGGCCCCACGACAAAAACACTCTTAAATTGGGTAGTGATGAACTTTAATCATGGAATACTTGAGAAATTGAAATTCGATTGAATTTTCTTGTGGAAGTATGGAGAAAGAAAAAAAACAAATGCCCTTTGATGATAATCATTATCAAAATAAATGATACATTGCCCTATCTAGATTCACAGATGTTGTGTTACAATGTTCTAAATCAAACACTGTAACATCAAGTGCTTTGTGCTCATTAAGATGAGCATCAGTAGTAACCAATAATTAGTGGAAACATCCAGATCATCACTTCATAAAAAAAAAACATTTTGATATAACTAATATGATAAAGTGAACTTTGCTTTCTGGTTTTTATTTCAGTTGATCCCAAATTTTATCAAATCTAAACAATCCCATGAAAAGTGGAGATATGTTGTCTAAGAAACACCAAATTAAAGTCAAAGATGAATATGAAAAAGGTTAGAGTGTCCTGTTTCTGGCATGCAACACATGATGTAACAACTCAAACACTTTGTAGGTCTCACACTAAATAGCGTGAGAAATGTTCTCTTGGACGTAATTCATTGACAGACACTTAAATATAGGATACATCTCTGCTTTTCTGTATTTTCAATTGAATGTAACAAAAAAATCAACTCTGTGAAATAGTATCACATTTTAATCACATTCAGTTCTTAATTTAATTTGTAATTTGATATTCTCTCAGAATATAGTCTTTCAGTCTGTGTTTTGCCCTGTTGTCTGGAATGAGTCATTTGAAGATCGGACCATAACACAACTTTTAAAGATCGGACCATAACACAACTTTCTTCTGTCTTTCTCCACTCAGTACATACGATCCAACTGGATGCCAGGAACAAGCAATCACAGCATGACTGAAAATCAATGGTAAAACAATATTTGACCTTGATCACTGACTTAAACACCAACAAATCATACTGCACTTATCCTTGACCAAACCTTTTGAATGTGATATTTGACATAAACAGATGGCCATAAGACATCAACTAAGAAGGCTATTAGATTTGACTTTATTTGACCTTAATTGCTATAATATTGTACAATACTGGGGTACAACATTTACGGTATGTGTTCCTGATCTGTGACTTTCAATAAGCTTAGACTAGATTTTAAACTGAATGATGTCTAAATAGTTAAAAAGCAAATAATAATATCTTTTATTTGTAATAAGTCTACTCACTTGTGCTCTTTGAGTACTTTCTCCACTTTACTCTTAGCCAGGTTCCAAATGAACAGGGCACCGTCATTAGATCCAGCCAGGGCGTAGCTGCCATCAGGACTGAAAAATGTGTTAACTTTATACATTAAAGCTTCAAAATAATGACACAAATTCTTTATCATATGAAATATAGCAGGAAACAATCCTAATGAAATGTTACACAAATTAATAAATACATCACAGACATATAAATTGTGTATATACATATCATATTCTAAAGCTATGTCAACAATTCACTTTTCAAAGTTATCTTATGTGAAAGTCCTTGATAAGATAAATCTACAAGACTCAGAAACGACTACAAAATTACCTAAATACAGCTCTTGCCCAGTCACAGCCAACTTTGAAGTCATCCGCACTGCAATTATAGAACAGAACCATATACACAAACACTTACACACACAGGGTTGTGTCCCATTGGTACAAAACCATTTCAGGAACAGTCATGTAGATGTCAGCACAATGGAATAGCACTGTCTGTTGAAACAAAAACACTGTTTATGCCCTATTTTAATCACCGTTATACAGGTGCTGGTACAAGGTGATAGCACTATACCATCTACTGAAGAAACAAAAACGTTTGTTCAGCATTATTCTAATCACACTAAACAGATATTGTTCCCACTACCTAAGTTAACTATTGACGATGATACTTATTTTTTAACTTAGAGTACTAGTCCTTCTGTGAAAACATTTATTTTTTATCTATATCTTCGTCAAAACAATTTATTTATCGGAAATGATAATCTAGATTTTAAGAAAATCTTATCTTTACTTACTATAAAGTTTTTGAGACTTGGTTCATCCGAAGATCAATCACCTTCAATGTGTCATCACGTGTGCTGCACAGCAATGAACTGCGGTCTGAAATAAAAACACATATTGCAACATGTACATGTATACCTGTATATGTATAGAAAAGTGTAAAATTGGAAACACTTCTGAAATAATAATAAAGCATAAGCACTTTCCTATGGAATCCTCAGATGCTTTGCAATCACAATTTACAAATATATGTATAGAATACTACAAATTCTAACTTTCTAAAATATATCTATTTTACAACATCTGGCCAATGGACAGATATTCTAATATCACTCTATGTCAAGGTATAAAGGGTACTAATTTTTATCAAGAGTAAAACTTTTTCAATGTTAAAGAAACTTTATGAACATGATTAGTACCTTGATAAACTTCCCATTTATTTCTATTTTAATCATTTTTGTCTTGGAGTTATGCCCCTTTTATCCTATCCTTATATAGTTTGTCCTAAATACTGCTATTTACTATCTCTATATATGCTAATAGAATTTTTATGATATAATCAGTATTTCAGTAGTTGGTTATTTTTCATTTAACTGATTTCCAAAGAAGTTTTATCACTTTTCTTCCTATTATATAAAATCTGGATTGAGTTTTTCTTTGGCTGGATCGTTACTACTTCAAACAAACATATAATACTCTTACACTAAACTTGCCTATTACAGCTTTATATAAAATAGTTTGAAGGTCGGTACAGAAGCATTAGCAATTTGAAAATACATAATAATAGATTACAGAATATATACCTGTAGTAGTATAACTATATACCTGTAGTAGTATAACTATATACCTGTAGTAGTATAACTATATACCTGGGGCTCTATATTGTTGCTGTACACTAGTGGCCATTAGAACTATATACCTGTAGTACATAACTATATACCTGTAGTAGTATAACTATATACCTGTAGTATAACTATATATGTGTTATGTGAAGTATAACTATATACATGTGAGTAGTATAACTATATACCAAATGTATTTATATGACTATATCTTGTTATGTAGTGTTTTAAATAATAAATAGTATAACTATATACCTGTTGTGTATAACTATATAATGTGTAGTATAACTATATATACCTGTAGTATAACTACATACCTGTAGTATAACTATATACCTGTAGTATAACTATATACCTGTAGTAGTATAACTATATACCTGTAGTATAACTATATGTAGTATAACTATATACCTGTAGTAGTATAACTATATACCAATGAGAGCAGTTGCTATGTAGTAGTATAACTATATAGAACTATATACCTGTAGTATATACTATATACCTGTAGTAGTATAACTATATACCTGTAGTATATATTTTCAAAGCCTATATACCTGTAGTAGTATAACTATATACCTGTAGTAGTATAACTATATACCTGTAGTAGTATAACTATATACCTGTAGTAGTATAACTATATACCTGTAGTATAACTATATATAACTATATACCTGTAGTATACCTATATACCTGTAGTAGTATAACTATATACCCTGTAGTATAACTATATACTGTAGTATAGTATATACTATATACCTGTAGTAGTATAACTATATATACCTGTAGTATAACTATATACCTGTAGTAGTATAACTATATACCTGTAGTAGTATAACTATATACCTGTAGTATAACTATATAGTATAACTATATACCTGTAGTATAGTATAACTATATACCTGTAGTATACTATACTATATACCTGTAGTAGTATAACTATATACCTGTAGTATAACTATATACCTGTAGTAGTATAACTATATACCTGTAGTATAACTATATACCTATAACTATATACCTGTAGTATAACTATATACCTGTAGTAGTATAACTATATACCTGTAGTATAACTATATACCTGTAGTATAACTATATACCTGTAGTAGTATAACTATATACCTGTAGTATAACTACATACCTGTAGTAGTATAACTGTTCCATATATATAGTATAACTATATACCTGTAGTATAACTATATACCTGTAGTATAACTATATACCTGTAGTAGTATAACTATATACCTAGTAGTATAACTATATACCTAGTAGTATAACTATATACCTGTAGTATAACTATATACCTGTAGTAGTATAACTATATACCTGTAGTATAACTATAGTATAACTATATACCTGTAGTATAACTATATACCTGTAGTATAACTATATACCTATATACCTGTAGTATAACTATATACCTGTAGTATAACTATATACCTGTAGTAGTATAACTATATACCTAGTATAACTATATACCTGTAGTATAACTATATACCTATATACTATATACCTGTAGTAGTATAAGGTATATACCTGTAGTATAACTATATATATATACCTGTAGTAGTATAACTATATACCTGTAGTATAACTATATACCTGTAGTATAACTATATACCTGTAGTATAACTATATACCTGTAGTATAACTATATAGATGTAGTAGTATAAATATATACCTGTAGTATAACTACATACCTGTAGTATAACTATATACCTGTAGTATAACTATATACCTGTAGTAGTATAACTATATACCTGTAGTATTATAACTATATACCTGTAGTATAACTATATACTATATACTATATACCTGTAGTATAACTATATACCTGTAGTATAACTATATACCTGTAGTATAACTATATATACCTATATGTAGTATAACTATATACTTGTAGTATAACTATATACCTGTAGTATAACTATATACCTGTAGTATAACTATATACCTGTAGTAGTATAACTATATACCTGTAGTATAACTATATACCTGTAGTATACTATATAGTATAACTATATACCTGTAGTATAACTATATATCTGTAGTAGTATTACTATATACCTGTAGTATAACTATATACCTGTAGTAGTAAAACTATATACCTGTAGTAGTAGTAGTATAACTATATACCTGTAGTATAACTATATACCTGTAGTATAACTATATACCTGTAGTAGTACAACTATATACCTGTAGTAGTATAACTATATACCTGTAGTAGTATAACTATATACCTGTAGTATAACTACATACCTGTAGTATAACTATATACCTGTAGTATAACTATATACCTGTACCTGTAGTATAACTATATACCTGTAGTATAACTATATACCTGTAGTATAACTATATACCTGTAGTAGTATAACTATATACCTGTAGTAGTATAAATATATACCTGTAGTAGTATAACTATATACCTGTAGTAGTATAACTATATACCTGTAGTATAACTATATACCTGTAGTATAACTATATACCTGTAGTAGTATAACTATATACCTGTAGTATAACTATATACCTGTAGTAGTATAACTATATACCTGTAGTATAACTATATAACTATATACCTGTAGTATAACTATATACCTGTAGTATAACTATATACTATATACTATATACCTGTAGTATAACTATATACCTGTAGTATAACTATATACCTGTAGTATAACTATATACCTGTAACTATATACCTGTAGTATAACTATATACCTGTAGTATAACTATATACCTGTAGTATAACTATATATGTATACCTGTAGTATATACGTTATATATACCTGTAGTATAACTATATACCTGTAGTAGTATAACTATATACCTGTAGTATAACTATATACCTGTAGTAGTATAACTATATACATTGTAGTATAACTATATACCTGTGTAGTATAACTATATACCTGTAGTATAACTATATACCCGTAGTAGTATAAATATATACCTGTAGTATAACTATATACCTGTAGTATAACTATATACCTGTAGTATAAGTATATACCTGTAGTATAACTATAAACCTGTAGTAGTATAACTATATACCTGTAGTATAACTATATACCCGTAGTAGTATAACTATATACCTAACTATGCAACCTGTAGTAGTATAACTATATACCTGTAGTATAACTATATACTGTAGTAGTAACTATATACCTGTAGTATAACTATATATACCTAGTAGTATAACTATATACCTGTTGTAGTATAACTATATACCTGGTAGTATAACTATATACCTGAAACAACGAATATACCTATACATACAAACTGTTATACAGAAACTCATAATATATTCATATTATCATCAAATAAAAGCTATAGACTAATGTTCACACTTTCATATTTTCATCAAATTTTATATATCTTACATCTAAAATGAACTGAAATTTCAATGAAGTCTTATGAAATAAATTCATTTAAGAATTATTTATTGAGCCTCTGGCAACTTAAATTTAGAACTGTTACAGGTTTTATAAATTACAATAAATGAAATTGAACTGAAGATCCCTGTTATCATATCATGAGTTATCTGGTCAGTTTTCACTACCCTCTTTTTGTCATTATGCGATCCATGAGTGTGTGACATATCATTATCATTTCTCAAAGTCAGTAAGTATTAAGATACCACTATGAAGAGAAGCCAAGTTTAAAGACATTGACGTAAGCAGGAAACATTATCATTACACTAAATGGAATGTCTTTCTATGTATGTACATAAACTGAAGACTTCGAAGAACTCATTTTTGACAAAGTTATACAATTATCTGAAACTTTTCTGAGAGATACTCCATCAATCAGTCTTGTCCTCGAGTCATAAAATATTGCATTAAACACTGTATATGGTAGAATACTTGACTGTAATATTGCTTTGGACTTTGGCTGAGTAAAATCTACTTTTTTCGGATTTCAGCTGTATAAAATCAACAGATGCTATGTAAAATCTACTTCATTTAAAAGCTTGGGAAAGTTAAATCAATGTTTCTTAATATTTGCTATATAAAAACAACATCACTAACAAGTTTGGCTTTATTTGTAGAACTTCACTTGACTGTGTAAAATTAACTTAACTTATGATCTTAGCTTGCATATGTCATCAATAAACATATCTGAGTACAATGTATTTCATGTGAAATTCTACTCTAACAAGAATGTTTGGCTTACAAGCTCGACTGTGTAAATCCCAAATTTTCAGAGTCCGGTCATGGCTTCCTGAGACCACCTTACTGGAATCTCCGAGAAATTTGGCTGCCAGTACCTTTCCACTGTGTCCTGTCAGTGTGTGCTTTTAAATAAGAACTAGATAGTTATGAAGGCACCATAAACAAACAACTAACTACTTAACTAAAGGATACTCCACAGAAGTTTATGAAGAGACTTTTTCAAATGTGCATATCCAAGCTTGTGTTTCTTTCAAATTCTTTTGTTGTTTTAGAGCATTTATTGATATTAATTAATAGATTAAGTGTAATGGTATGTCTGTAAGTAGTAAACATTAACAAAAGGTCAAAACAATATGCTGATACAATATTGTATGTGTATCGAGACAGATTATTACAAATGGCTCTGATATAGAAACTATCATTATATCTACGTGTTGTGACAGGTAACAAAGTTTTCTCGTATCTATAAATGAAATTAGAGTATTTCAGCAATGATATTGTGATTACTCAAATCTTATGATCACATCTACTCTTGTATTCTATGATGTACTGTACAACATGAATAACTTTGAAAAAGACAATTAACATCGACTCACTCTGAGACGCTGGTCATTTAGTGACCACACCCGACTGGCAAAATCGTTAGATGCTCCAAGTATCAACGTCTCCTGCAAACAGGTCAACCATTAGTGAAACTTTAAACACAATAAAATATGTAACATCCTTTAAAGATATATTCCCACTTTTCCCTACAAAAATAAAAAAAATCCTTGCTTCATGATAGGAATGCCCAAAGGATTACTATACAAGATATTCCTTGCTTCATGATAGGAATATCAAAGGATTCCAAACAACTTAAAGACATAAGGTCAACAACACAATAATGTCACAACAACATAAAAATACTACAATTTGATGTAATTAACATTGCATATAACAGAACAACAAAAGGTGAGGGAAAATTCATTCTTGCACACCCTCCCTTTGAGGGTGAGATAAGTGATCTCAATCCTTGAAGTAAATTTTCCAAGCACTTGGAAAGTCTCAAGTCTTGCAACTTGAAAATATTCCCCTTTGGGCTGAGCTACCCTCATTTTACTTTCCTTCAGAAAGGATACAATTTTTATATCTGTACATATCCATAGATACTATATAATGTGAAAAAAAGCTTCTTTTTTGTATCTTGTTTACACAATTGTGTTTACACAAAAACTTTCAGAGTTTTGGCTCTCTGATAATATTTTGCTAAAACTATAAATCAGATATACTTTATCTGCCGAATACAGTGTACATTTAAATATTTGTTTGCCAGTTTAAAAAACAAATGCTCTTAGCAAAATCAATTACAAAGCAGGTAACTCACCTCAAGGTCGAAGTCTAACGAAGTGATTCCTTGATTACTGCCCATGAGAAACCCTTTACTTTCACATTTACCTGCACAATAATAAGCGATTATATGTTAATTCTGCGATACTTTTTAAAATTTTATCTCTCCAATACTTTTTTCCAGTTTATCTTCACAATACCTTTTATAGTCTATCATGGTTATTATGCTAAGTTTACAAATAACATAAACCTACCTTTTTTTCTCAAATATCCTTCAAGAAATACATTTGTTTCTAGAAACTTTGAAAAAGCAAGTAAATCAATCAATTCCTAAATTGTCCACCTATAACTACTAAATACAGGTATAGAGATTTACCAGCCATCACCTCCCAAAGTTTGATCTTCCTGTCTGTGCCACCTGTAGCAAATTTAGCCCCTGATGGACTCCACTGTATAGCATTCACTTCTCCATCATGGGCATCCTGATGAGAAATTGCAAATCACTATGTTAACCAAGTCAGACAAATGCATTGTATAGAAACAATAGGTGTTTTCCCTTTTCCTGTGTCAATTGTACTTAATAGACATATTGTGTTATGATAAAGCCAAGCAGGGATAACTAAACATTTACTGTAAAACTGTAAGTCTAACATATTACGTAGAATTTCTGAAATCTAATTTAAATGAAATGAGCTTTTTCTTCTCCCTAAACTCCAATCTCTACCTCTATACTCTGGAAACCCAATCTTCCTACAACAAGTTTCTTTTTTCTTTAATCTCTTTTCCAGTTATCTCCCTTCCTTCATGCCTTGTCTTCCCCCTGTATGTTTGACTTGTTGGTTGGTTACAGGTTTTCCACCTCTTTGACTCTTCCTATTCATTACTTGGTATTGTCTCACCAATGAAAGTCAGTGTCCTGGCAATGTTTCTAATTTCCCTAAGCTTTACAACATCCCTTGTACAAATCTATCAGAATCAACTAATTTCCCTAAGCTTTACAACATCCCTTGTACAAATCTATCAGAATCAACTAATTTCCCTAAGCTTTACAACATCCCTTGTACAAATCTATCAGAATCAACTAATTTCCCTAAGCTTTACAACATCCCTTGTACAAATCTATCAGAATCAACTAATTTCCCTAAGCTTTACAACATCCCTTGTACAAATCTATCAGAATCAACTAATTTCCCTAAGCTTTACAACATCCCTTGTACAAATCTATCAGAATCAACTAATTTCCCTAAGCTTTACAACATCCCTTGTACAAATCTATCAGAATCAACTAATTTCCCTAAGTTTTACAACATCCCCTGTACAAATCAGTCAGAATCAACTAATTTCCCTCAGCTTTACAACATCCCTTGTACAAAATCAATCAGAATCAACTAATTTCCCTCAGCTTTACAACATCCCTTGTACAAATCTATCAGAATCAACTAATTTCCCTAAGTTTTACAACATCCCTTGTACAAATCTATCAGAATCAACTAATTTCCCTAAGCTTTACAACATCCCTTGTACAAATCTATCAGAATCAACTAATTTCCCTAAGCAAAAGCATGCATGTATCCAACCAACCCATGTTATCATGTAATTGTTACAGTTCTGTTCACAGCACATTTTCATCAATACACACTTACAAATTTATATTGAGCTTTGTCTGGCAATGAGGCTTGGAGACATATACGAGTGCCCATCACAGCTGTTTTTGCTCTGTCAATAAAACAACACATTGATTACAGAAGCTATACAAGGGACAGTCCAGGAACAGTTAAAGACTAAATTATCTCCCAAGGGGTTTTATAAATAGGACAGAGTTAGTTAATTACCATTCTAATATTTGGAATGTTTTTAACAATCAAGTACAGAAAGGATTCATTTGTTATTTTGTAGATTTAAATTTTTAAAAATTAAAAAAAAAATCATCACAAGTTTTTATCTGCATAATGGTCACAGAAAATAGAATATTTTATCATTGCTGTACTAGTATTTACTATGTAATATTGATAATATTCTTTGAGATATAATCTTGTGATACAATAACATTTAATCTTATGATTGTTAAATGCTATCTTATGAAAAAGACAATCTACAACAATAATTACCCACACAAACTCACACACTTACCCATCAGTTATACTGACATTCTCTCTAGCAGCTTCTGCTAAATCTTTTTGAAGTTTGGCTTGTCGCCTCCTGCAAAGAGAAGTGTAAGGTTAGTATGTATTGGAATCAAACACCAGCTCAAGCATATGAGGAATATCAAACACAAGATACTAAACTTTGTGTCATAAGAAAAGCAACAATTTCAAAACATTGTCAATTGTCATTGGTCTGGGTAAATTTTGTTTACATCTTAAAAAAAAGCAGCACTGCATATCTTAGATATTTTTATTTTCTAGGTAGATTTTGTTTGCATAATTAGAGAAAAGAGTCATGTCATGTGAATTAGTATTTTAGCTATCACAATAAAGAATATATCACCTCATGACATAGTCATTTTCGGCATTAAGTTTGTCTGCGTCTTTAGATTTCTGGTCCATCCAGCGCTCCACCAATTCACGATTATCTTCCTGTGCTTTACGGTACTTCTCTTCTAGAGCAGTGAATGCAAGCTGTAATGCCTGGTGTTCATCCTTCAACATCTGAGGAAGACAATAATACACCATACAGAAAACACTGAACACATAGTCAGAAAGGCAATAGCACAATGTGATTAAAAATTTCACTAATTGTCTAATGGACAAATGGCAAAATCTCCAAAATAGAAAAAGACATCTAGTTTTGCATTGCTATTCATAGCATCAATTTTATATCCTGATTTGATATATTTTTCAAGATGATAATTATTATCTTTTACATCAGTAAGTTTTGTAAAAATGGCAGACAGATTCAAATAGAGTTTGGAGGGGGCAGTTTTTATAGCATCAAGTTCTGTTGATTATAGAATGGCAGTGCTAGTCCGATCTCATTACCTAACAGAGAACTCACTGACAGTCCTGCTTCCAGTGTAAGAACTGAGTGATCACCTCCGTATAAACTCACTACCAAATGTGCCTGACTTCAGAACAGAAAGTTCCATCCCATAAACAGGTCAACCCTCACAATGCCTGAACACTAAAGTTTGTCACTGAGACAGCACCTAGTGATAGGAAGATTCACAGAGTTGAAAAACTTGTAACACACTCAACTATAACTTCTTGACTTTTGATCCACTTACCTGACTGACCCCTGCTTGACCATCTGACTGTTCTATACCTAATTGACCCTGTCAGACAAGTTGTATTACCTGATTAGTTGCCTCCAGCTCCATTATTGTGTGTTCTAGATTTTTAATGGCATTCTTCATGGCAAGTTCAGTCGCTGTTGCATCACTCAGTCTAAAAGTAAAGGAAACCTTTCAGTCAGTCATTTAATGATCATATTCTGCCCTAAAAACATCTTCAGGGAATTTCCCATATATGGCATCTATATTCATAATGTAGACACCATACTGTTAAGTGGATACCATGTTGGCTAAGTTAAAATTACACTACATTCTATAACACTTCTATGTCATTCCATATAAGCAAAAGGTGAATGATGCAAGTGGAAAATGGTAAACATTACTAATAGATTTTGTCCAATTGCGTCTTTGATGGAGACTGATAACTTATTGATAGAATTGTCTATAACCTAATTAAAATGTATCATATCCATTTTCATGATGGAAGTTAAATTTTTCAATCTTTTTATCCCAAACTGTTACTCGTATCAACTGTAATAGCTGTTTACTCTGATAGTTTTGCAGTTCGACCAAAATCATGAACAAAAGCAAATATTTAAACATTTTCATGGAAGTCATCAAACAAAATCTTGTATTCATTATTAAGGCAATTTTTACAGTAACATACTTTTTCAGGATTAAATAGATATATTCAAACCTCGGAAATAGCGGAAAACACCACTCTATAAACAAAAAATGTTGAAATACACGGGAAAAACAGTTGAATTGTGGTACCAAAATATCTTAGGACACATTCAGAGTGAGATCACCTGTTGTCTTTGGCCTGGAGTTCTTTCTCCTTTTCCTGGAGTGCAGTATTCAAGTCTATAATTTGTTGAGCATTCTGAAGTAGAAACAATTTCTTATTAATTGTATAAGAATTCTGGATTTTTGTTTTGATTCAACCCATGAAATTTATGATAAGAGAGTAAGTTCAATATGATGTAAATCAATGCAATTAATTTTTATATGTCATTAAATTGATACAGACAACATAAACAAAACCAGGTCTTTAGAAATTTATGAGAATGCATGAAGAAAAATTCAGCATAATCACACATGTACATTTTGGGCCCTCCATATAAAGTGTGAAATTATCATAATGGGAAAAATGAACATGTATACACCTAGGAATTTTCACTGTGAAGGAAGAGATTTTTGGCATGCAACAACAAAGGTCAAGATCATTCACCCTGTGACATCGACTTTCGAACAATGTGAAAAGGTCCTGGAATTAAACAGGGGGCTTGTGTAAAATCCTTCATTTAAGGAAGTAAACAGCGAAACGAGGAAGAAGACAGTTTATAGATTGTAGTGTGTGCATCCCTTAATGTCTGTATTGGAGAGAAGGGTGAATTAAAACTCTTCTATCTTACCATGAGGTGTCACAATTTTACTGATAACAAATGACATTGTAGAAAGGCATGCTGACATGAAGTGTTGTTTTTTTTTCTGATTAAAACAGCATTATACTAGTCAAAAACAGGATGTTTCCCAGCAGTGTGTGGGTGTACATAAAGTCACGTTTATCATTCATCAAATCAGGATCCAAACGCTTTGTAAAAGATGCTTGGTGAGTGTAGTATTACCGTAATGCATAATATACACTTTCAAGTCGTCAAACCTTTCCTAACATAGCATTTCATATTACTGCGATATACATTGTTGAAAGTGTAAACAGCATGCTCCTGTGTAAACCTTTCCCAAAGGCATGACTTAAAGGTCTGACCTGACCCCTTTCACAAACAATAGGTCCTACTGGTCCATCCCAATCTTAGAAGAAAATAGGTTCAGACATTCTAGCCAAATCCAATTAAGAACCTGTAGGCCCTGCAGGTCTGGCCCAATAGTACAATTTGGCCAATCCTGTTAACATAATATAGGTCCTGCTGGTCTTGCCACACCTCATCAATAAAACGAAAGCCCAGGCCCATTACAAAATGTAGACTCTGCAAGTCTGACCCAATACTGGTCTTATCAAATCCTAATAATAAAACAAAGGTTCTTCTGGTCAGACTCATTAACAAAACATACACTTTTCTGGTCTTGCCCTATCCCATTGACAAAATATAGGTTCAGTTAGTGTCACAGCCCCGTCTCTAAAGATAGGTTCTACAGGTCTGACAGCATCCCATTACCATATATAGACCCTGCCAGTCTGGTCACTTATTTAAGATCAAAGTGCAGAGGGCATTTAAAGATGCTGTGCATGATGTATCAAAGTAAAGGAATAAAGCAAGTGGTTACCAGAGTATAGCTTTATAAATCATAAAAATAATATATCCTCCAACTGGAACTTACCAGGAAAATGTATTTTCTATATATGACAAGTATATTGCATTTATGATAAAATCAGGGTGAGACTTAAATTTCAAAAAGTGACCTTGAACTTGAACCTATGATGCATTTGCTTGTCTAAATTATTGGGGTCTAAATGAAAATACATATGAATTATAATGTTGAATCATTGGTTGATTTAAGCTGTCACAAAAATGAACAGTGACAAGGGTATGTTCAATTAAATAAGTTCAGAGATGGGTGATGCATTATGCCAATTCCAGGAGGGCTAAACAATAGATCTTAGAGAGGTATTTGTAACATAACTGTACCAATTTTCTTTTCTTTGAAATTGGTTCTAAAATCAAATACATCTTGGAATCAAAGTGCATCTAGGGACAAAGGAACACATACATATAATACATAGAAACTTGAGAATTATATATCTAGTAATTCTCACTGCAAAAAATTGAACCATCAAAGTCCATGAAGGTTGCTTGTCAGCTAGTATTTACAATCAGGAAATCCACAGAAGTGGATGTGTCACCTGCCCAGCAAGGTTTGTAGGGACAAGTTTCATGGATCAATAACCATAGATATTTATTGTATTTATTCCATTTATATAATCTGTCAAATTGTAAGAGATGTAATGAGTAAACTTCATATTATGTATATAGTGTTGAAGGGAACTGAATCACGAGGATAGATCTGTATATTACAATTACACACATATTTAGAAGTAAAACAAAATACTAATTTGTTCCAAATACAAGAGGAACAGGGACAACCCACCTAAAAAGCAATCTCAAACAAGCACTGTATGAAATTTTAAGTCTAAGTTTTTAAGAAAACTCAAGTAATCACACAAAAACACTTTCGTTTTCAAAGCTAAAATTACCTTGACCTTTATCGTGAGAAAACCTTTGTGCAGATGACAGCTCTCATGCTGACGACAAAGTAACATCTATATATAACCTTTGGCAGGAAGGTGACACAAAAAAGGTACATTCCATAAAAAAAATGTTTATTTTAATCAGTCTCAGAATATATAATGTACAACCAGGGACAAACATCTGGAATATAAGGATTTCAATTAATTCAGAACTTTTCAAGAAGTTGCAACAAGTTAAAACTGTTGAAATCTGTGTTTATAATGTCATCTACTACTATCAACAGTAATGCACTCATAATCACAAGTCAGTGAATGTACCGCACCAACAATCACTAAGGGTAGTACCTCTACACTAGGGCAGCTTACAGAAATCCCTATCACAGATTTTAAGATATGGACAATAAAACAACAAAACAGGACAGTTGAAAGAATTACAGGTTGCGTTGCTTCTATCAAAGACTATTCACATCTGTTTTTTTTTCTCTATTAGGACTTGCTGTGAGAAATGTTTGAAAAACTTTTTAAACTTCTATCTAAATTTTAACAACATATCAGAAGGAAACTTACAACAAGTCCAATAATATGATCTAAGTAGAGATATGATGAACATTTCCAGCTATATCAAAATCAAACACAGTCATTGCAACATTTTCAGCAGTTGGTTAAATACTACTTGTGTGATGGCGGGCATCTATAAGCCAGTATTGAAACCAATGCTTAAAACACCCCACTGAAATATCAAATATTTAAAATGTTGTTGTGATGTCTTGTATGTAATGATGTTTGAACCTCCTCTACACAAATTCCATGAACTTTCTAGGTCAATATTACGGTTTAAATACACCTGATAAATTATATTTTTTCCTTTTTTCCATTGATCACTGATCAGCATGCATTCCTATGAAGGAAATGTGGACCAATAATTGGTTTGTAGTGTAAAATATGTCAAAACCACTATTGATGCAATGCTTTTGAGTAAGAATTTTTGCTTGATTTTGTTCAGAATAATGAACAAATTTCAGTGTGCAAACCTTTCAGGAACTAGTTTTTCTTTGACACTAGTGCACAGCTTGGTTGACTGGATGCACAACTGTCTTCTTGAATTCAGATTATCCTTGCTTTGTTTGAGAGCTATTCTTAATGAAAGGCAGAAAAGTTCCCACATCCCATAATTATCATGCATCATGAGTGGACAAGTAGGTCACTTCGTGGAATGAGAACGGAAAATAAAATAAGTGTTTGAGCACTGTTCCTATTCGAGCACTGGTTAGTCTACTTCAGTACTACAGGTCAATATGTGATGGTAAGAAATTACAGAGAAGAAAATTATAAACCAGGAGGTCCTGTAAAAATGATCAGATTTCATTAAAACGCTGGATGTAAAGTTTATTGCTTACAAATGGAAGCATTTAATACTGTAAGTATAAAGCTATTCCTGCATAAATCATCAAAAACCAGATGAACATTGAAATTATTTAATTTTGGTAGAACAGCCTTGGTCTGGGAGACTATTGTTGTCTATGACAGACACCCCCAGCACCATGGACAGAGAGAACCTATATATAAGTGATCTTTGAGACTATGTTTGTCTATGAGGGACACGCCCAGCACCATAGATGGAAAAACTTATAACTAAGAGATCTTTGAGACAATGGGGATACCCCCAGCACCATGGATGGAAAAACTTATAACGAAGTGATCTTGAAGACAATGGTTGTCAATAACGGATACCCCTAGCACCATGGATGGAGAAACCTTATAGCTATGTGATCTTGTAAACTATGGTTGCCTATAACGGATATGTCCAGTGTCTTGGATAGAGAGAAACCCTTAGTTACCCGATATGTGATCTTGGAGACTATGGATGTATATAAGGGATATGCCCAGTGTCTTGGATAGAGAGAAACCCTTAGTTACCCGATATGTGATCTTGTAAACTATGGTTGCCTATAACGGATATGTCCAGTGTCTTGGATAGAGAGAAATCCTTAGTTACCCGATATGTGATCTTGTAAACTATGGTTGCCTATAACGGATATGTCCAGTGTCTTGGATAGAGAGAAACCCTTAGTTACCCGATATGTGATCTTGGAGACTATGGATGTATATAAGGGATATGCCCAGTGTCTTGGATAGAGAGAAACCCTTAGTTACCCGATATGTGATCTTGTAAACTATGGTTGCCTATAACAGATATGTCCAGTGTCTTGGATAGAGAGAAACCCTTAGTTACCCGATATGTGATCTTGTAAACTATGGTTGCCTATAACGGATATGTCCAGTGTCTTGGATAGAGAGAAACCCTTAGTTACCCGATATGTGATCTTGGAGACTATGGTTGTATATAAGGGATATGCCCAGTGTCTTGGATAGAGAGAAACCCTTAGTTACCCGATATGTGATCTTGGAGACTATGGTTGTATATAACAGATATGTCCAGTGTCTTGGATAGAGAGAAACCCTTAGTTACCCGATATGTGATCTTGTAAACTATGGTTGCCTATAACGGATATGTCCAGTGTCTTGGATAGAGAGAAACCCTTAGTTACCCGATATGTGATCTTGGAGACTATGGTTGTATATAAGGGATATGCCCAGTGTCTTGGATAGAGAGTGTACCCGATATGTGATCTTGGAGACTATGGTTGTATATAAGGGATATGTCCAGTGTCTTGGATAGAGAGAAACCCTTAGTTACCCGATATGTGATCTTGTAAACTATGGTTGCCTATATAACGGATATGTCCAGTGTCTTGGATAGAGAGAGAAACCCTTAGTTACCTGGTATGTGATCTTGAAGACTATGGTTGCATAAAAGAGATATGCCCGGTGTCTTGGATAGAGAGAAACCCTTAGTTACCTGGTATGTGATCTTGTAAACTATGGTTGCCTATAACGGATATGTCCAGTGTCTTGGATAGAGAGAAACCCTTAGTTACCCGATATGTGATCTTGGAGACTATGGTTGTATATAAGGGATATGCCCAGTGTCTTGGATAGAGAGAAACCCTTAGTTACCCGATATGTGATCTTGTAAACTATGGTTGCCTATAACGGATATGTCCAGTGTCTTGGAGAGAGAGAAACCCTTAGTTACCCGATATGTGATCTTGGAGACTATGGATGTATATAAGGGATATGCCCAGTGTCTTGGATAGAGAGAAACCCTTAGTTACCCGATATGTGATCTTGTAAACTATGGTTGCCTATAACGGATATGTCCAGTGTCTTGGAGAGAGAGAAACCCTTAGTTACCTGGTATGTGATCTTGGAGACTATGGTTGTATATAAGGGATATGCCCAGTGTCTTGGATAGAGAGAAACCCTTAGTTACCTGGTATGTGATCTTGAAGACTATGGTTGCATAAAAGAGATATGCCCGGTGTCTTGGATAGAGAGAAACCCTTAGTTACCCAATATGTGATCTTGGAGACTATGGTTGCATATAAGAGATATGCCCAGTGTCTTGGACAGAGAGAGAAACCCTTTGTTACCCAATATGTGATCTTTGAGACTATCGTAGTCAATAATAAAGAATACAGCCAGGGCCTACAGACTGAGGAAAGAGGATTTTTAACCCCATATTAGAGAAATAGGTAATCTGTCTTTATCATCACCAAAATAGAAAATAGTTAATGATAACCTTGTGTGTAGTAAACAGTTCTATTGACTAATGGTTACAACCAAAGGTGAATATCTGTTACTTATAAAACATGACATGATAGCCATCGGCAGATTGTACACTAAATGCATGTGCAACATTATCTCCTTTATGTCGTGTTTTAAATACCCATTTAAAGACACAAAAATATTTTAAATTTGAGATAAAACATGTTATATTTCAGTTATACTATCAATTACCTAGATGTATGAAAGGCAAGGAGTTAAAAGACTGAATATTAAGACATATCTGTAAAGTCTTCAGGTTTGGTCTAGACTGGAGTCTCTAATGTGATTCAGTCAATATGACAATCTCCAGTGTAAAGGTTTGGTATAAAACCTTAGATAATCAGAAGATATATATCTTCTATGTTCAACTAAGTAAGATGTTTATGTTTTATTTATGCACTGATTTAATAAAATATATTTATGTAATATTACAGTTTGTGATAAATTTCCAACTATAGCTCCTTTTGGTGCAAATATTGTATTGGTAGATTACTGAGGTTAAGCACATCTATCCTCTTTTTCCGAGAAAATATGAGGTGCTTTCATAGGAACAGTGTCAATTACATATAATATGATTCATACCTAAATGGATTGAAGTAGCTATTGTTCATAATGCTGTAACTAAACACTGTAAAAACAATATTGTGTTTTGTCCTTCATTCTTCCGTCAGAGACAGCATTATACCAAACCCCTTACACTTTGAAGTTTTTTTTTTCAGAAATCTGAAGTGTGTCCATACCTCACTCCTTTTCCTGTGAAGTTCTGTAAGCTCCTCTTGTAGTTTGTAAAGCTTGTGTTCAAGGTTGGAATTCTTATCCCCAGCATTACCTCCCCCACTACCGCCTCTGACAATAAGAAAACAAAGTCAATCTTTAACATGATTATTCCATCAAGTGTCACAAATGTTTTTAATGAAGGTGTTTTAATACAATGTACATAATCTGATTATTAAGATACTAGGTACGATGTCAAAGTTATACAAAAATCCCATTAGATTATTCATATTACAAAGGTGTCTATAAACAGTTACTAGGAAGTGCATATTTTTCCTTGTCCAGAGATAATTGCTTGTCAACTGCAAGAAAGCATATTTTTCACAAAGGGCTGACTTTGTTATCTCTCCTCAGTTTAAAGCCCCACACAAAACAAGAGGCCAAAGGGCCTTAACGGTCACCTGAGTTACAATGCTCCTTGTAACATGTCATAGAAATGATGTTAAAACAAGTAAGATAACTTTAACTATATTGTACACATAACACAGATGTAAGCAGTGAATAACATTAGCTTCTGTTCTATGCAAAGCTTCTAACCAAGTTTGAATTAAAAGAAATTACACTAAAAAATTGGATTTTCCTATATAGAATCTTCCGTGCAGAAACAGGAGAACATCTTTGAAGTTTCAGTCAATTTGACCCATTTTTGCCCCCCCCCCCCCTACCCATAAGCCCCTGGGGGTCAGTCAATGTCAATGTACGTCTCATCAAACTGTCAGCTTATACTAATAATTCTAACCAAGATTGACCTATTTCTGAAAGAAAATAAACAAATAATACTCAAAAAAAATTTTTTTTCCTATAGAAAATATAGTAAATTTTACCCCTTCCCATAGGGGAAATGTGAGACTCTAGGGTCATATAACTTACATTTTAAGTAAAGCACCGTTAAACACTTCCATCCATGTAGAGTATTTGGTTCTACATTATCTGGGTATTGAAAGGAAGATTTTTGAAATTTCAGTCATATTTCAACAGCCCCTGGGTTGGTGGTGGGGGGTCAGCTGAGGTCAATATATGCACTCATCAAATTATCATCTTTAACTTATAATACCAACCACGTCTAAACTATTTACAATAGAAAATAAACAAATTATTTTAAACAATGTAATTTTCCTATATAAACTATAGTAAACTTTACCCCTTCCCCAGGAAGAAATGTGATAGTCTGGGGTAATGAAAATTACAATTTCTATAAAGCATTTGAAGGCCTATACATTCATGAAAAGTATTTGATTCTACCCTATCTGGGATTTGAGAAGAAGATTTTTGAAGTTTCAATTAATTGTAAACAGTACTACATTTTATGTTGAGTAAGATATGTTAGTACCCAGGTATCAAAATTACTAAAATACCTCTGACAGCCCTTAAAAATACACTCGGATATCCAAGTAGTTGTCATGAATATGATCTCTTTAGAAATGAAGGAAATTTCAGACATGTCATAGGAGCATCTCTAAAAACAAGCAGCAAATATCAAACTACTGGTTATTACTGTTATAAAATCCCATCAGAATCAAATCTTTGTCTGATTGTGGTTGCAAATATCTCTTTAATTGGAAATTTCTCCATTAAAAAGCATGAAACATAACAATGAAGTGAATATGAATATTTGATTAAGTGTAACACTTCAGTCCCATTTTTAAGTTGTTGATTCAATATTATTTTACTGCATGGAGCTAGAGGTACTCCATCACTGTGAGAATATTTGTAGACCTAGAAAGATTGATTTTCTTCTTTCAGATACATACTAAGTAATTTGCCCCCGGAATCTCACAGCATAATGACAAGAGTTACTGCTTTTGAACTCTGGCGCACAAGATTGTCTGCAATCACATTACCTCAAATTACATTCCAAATAAATGCTCCAAATATATATATATATATATATATTCTAATGTGCAACACACTGCATGTAAACAAGTTGTCTATGGTCAAAAGCAGTGATGCTATAGCTTACTCATGACTTAAGTTAAAAGCATCATTTTTGACCTTAAAATTACCAAACAGATTACACTGTTATGTTTATCAGCTTAACTTGATTTATAAGTTTTGTCAAAACTGCCTGAACTGCTGTGGTGAACAAACGATAAGAAAATTTGCACAAAAACTTCAATACTGCAATGCCTGGGTGATTTTATATCCTATAGCCACCCCTAAAAGTTAATCCCCCAACCCAACACACACTTTGAAAAAGTCTTTCTGTCAGCCAAGGCAACTGGTAGAATTACCAGTGGCTAGATCATTATTGGGCCTTCCTTAAAACCACAAACTCATTTGTGTGATTCATACTTTATTTAGAGGCAGTTTTCCCAAACTCAATAATTATCATCTTGAAACTAGATTAAAGAAACTGATCTTTCACTGTTCCGTTTACTTTATTAACTTTATGTGTTACTAGATACTTGTGTCTTATTCAGAAATTAAAGGAAAATTTTTCAATTTAATGTTTCAATCATGTCTTTATTATATGCATCTTTGGCCCCAAGTGAAAATTGCACTATTGCTTATCTAAGTGATCTTGGCCGGAGGATGTATTATATGTTACATATGTATTGGATCCGATTTTGGAGGAGACATGTTTCATAAGATTTCAGGTAATTTTCAGGTGACATTCCTTAAATAGCAAACATGAACAGCAATGTTAGTTATGCTTCCGATAATCAAGTCAAGTCAAGTAGTATACACAGTTAGGGTAATACGGAAACAGTGTCTACCTAAATCAATGGTGAGGTCACACAACAGCTAAGGTCATATAACATCGTCTACAAAAATCAATGGTGTAGCCACACAACAGCTAACGTTATTTCATAACATTGTCTACAAAAATCAATGGTGTAGCCACACAACAGCTAAAATTATTTCACAACATCATCTACATAAATCAATGCCAAGGCCACACAACAGATAAGGTCATATAACACCAACATCTACATAAATCAATGTCAAGGCCATACAACAGCTAAGGTCATATAACAACAACATCTACATAAATCAATGTCAAGGCCATACAACAACTAAGGTCATATAACAACAACATCTACATAAATCAATGTCAAGGCCATACAACAGCTAAGGTCATATAACAACAACATCTACATAAATCAATGCCAAGGCCACACAACAGCTAAGGTCATATAACAACAACATCTACATAAATCAATGTCAAGGCCATACAACAACTAAGGTCATATAACAACAACATCTACATAAATCAATGTCAAGGCCATACAACAGCTAAGGTCAAATGACAAGTGTCTACCTAAATCAATGATGAGGCCACATAACAGCCAAGGTCATATCACAACAATATCTACATATTTAAATGATGATGAGGCTTCACAACACTGTAAGTCATATGATGATGGTGTTCACTAATGAAGAGCTCTAAGAACATCAGTCTGTTTGTAATTGCAAGTTTATAAGCAATCATTGTAATTGTCCCGTGTTCAACAGTTTAACATACCTGTATATTTGTATATAAAAAACAATATTCACTTCCTATCCTGATCTAATTTCAAACCCCTCACCATAATGTGCATGCACATGTCCAATGAATGTCTGTTGATCATGACATGATAGAAGTCACGAGTCGTATAATAATAACACCTAGGTTAAAAGGAATCTTTAGTAACAATGCAAGTAAATTCTAAAATAAAGAAATATATATATGAAAAAGAAGCAAAACCACTTGGAGAATTACAGACCCCATTGAATGGGAAGTTTTGTACCACTTTGGAATGTAGAGATGATGAATGCTTGATAGACCCAGAGTCTTCAACAAGGAAAAATGCTGTTGTTAAAATCACAAATTAATCTGCTGGAAGTCAAGCTGTTAGTAGAGCAAACATGCCAGATTACCATCAAATTGCATCTGATGACACCCTGTATTCCGAAGTATTTAACTATCTCATTAAATTCAGGGGTGTACATTTGGATGAATTTTGTGATATCTAAGTTGCTTGATGGGCAGTTATGCTTTTAATTCAATGCAAAAGAACTCATGACCCGGGTAAGAAGTTCCAAAGACATGAGATGCAGGAACTTAGATCTGAACTAACTCTTTCCCTGATGTAGGATCAAAGATCAAAATATAGACCAAGGTGACCTACTTTTGGTACATGTAATGCTTCAGTGAAACAATGCTCCATAAATAAGGTTCCAGTAACCAGTATTATAGGAAATAGAGCATTTGATGTAGGTCAAAGGTTAAAATATAGGTCTGAAAGAGTGACCTACTTTTGACACTTAACACACTGCCTCACATTGGTAAACCTATGTTGTGAAGTTCCACTGATAAGCAGTGCATGAGATATATAGAGCACAAACCAGATGAAATGTAGAAGAACAGACGAACATCCCTAATTACTGTTGGGGGACTATAGCTTTATCATTTTACTACACAACCTTAACCCAACAATATCTAGAAATTAACTTATGCCTGGTTAGAAGTCCACCTATACATAAGTTCTCTGAGCATTCAGTTGACCCTTGATATTTGGAAATTACGAATATCAAATCACAAATATAACAGGTCAAAACATCTGTGAAATAGACATGTCCCATCAAATTCAAGAATAAAAAGTTATTTTTGCAAATTCAAAAACATACTGTCTAAAAGTCAGTAAGGCCAAAACATTAAAGTACAATGTACACTTACCCACTCTCTACTTTGATTTGCAAGCTAAGGTTTTCTTCTTTCAGTTTCTCAGTCTCTAGAGTAAGGTGGACATTCTTGGATTTCAGAGATGTAGCATTTTCAAATAACTTGTTATCTGTAAGTAAAGAGAAAGCAAGAAATGAAAATACACAAAAGTAAATATGTACAGTCAGATAGCACTGTCCTATCCTACTGTAGTGATATACATGTGTTTGAATTTATTTTGCTAACTATACCACTGTCCAATCCTACAGTAGTGGTATACAATGTATAAACATGTTTGAGTACCTAGATTTACAGTCAGATTACACTGTTCTATCCTGTTCTATGCCACCATTGACAAAAAAATTTTTTTTCTTATGAAACAGCAAAAAAATTATGAATATTTCATGCCATTAGATAAGAAATTAGCTTGACTGACCAAGAAAAATCATCAAAGTTTACATACTTTTCAGCTACTCTTAAGTATAATAGTGATTTACAAGTTAAAGCCCCAATATACGTAACATTCACCAAAAATTTAGTGTAGAATCACACATAATTATTGAGATATTTTCTAAGATGTCGTTAAAATTAAGTTATTCAAACAATAGTTACCATGACTTTGTGCATAAAGTATTGATATATGAGCAGTTGAAACTCGCTATTTGTAAACACACCTCCATTTTAAACACGCCGCCATCAAAATTACGATTGTTGCCGAACCACGTCGGAAAGTTCATGACCTGATCTCGCGAGAGTTGAGGTTTCTACTTATAGAGGAAGCACATGCAGATATGTCTACGGTAAGTTTTTGTTTACAAACATTGTTTGCCAAGTCTTGTCGTAGACTTGAGGTATTCCTGTGATAAACATTCAGTTTTTGGGAAATTATTAGAAGGAATAATTAGTTTAGAAATGATACGACGCACAATTATAACATAAGAATTCAGAACTGGCCTGATGTATGATTGAAAAAAAAGGAAGCGACTGGTGAACGTCTGTACTGTGTCTGTCATGTTTACACACGCGGAATATGCGCATGCGCAATGTCATCACTACGAGCGGTAATGTATGAATTATTGTGGGTCCCACATTGTTTATTTTCCGATTTTTTCAATTTTTATATAAATTGAAAACAGTCAGTTTTATTTTCTTTAATTAAAGGAAAGTATTTGTTTTGTTACATATATTACGGGGAAAATAAGATGAAGTTTGTTTTTTTATAGTGATTTTTACATATATTGGGGCTTTAATTATGTATGAACAAAATAATCATTGGAAAGATTGAAGTACTGTAATATCACAAATATAAAAAGAAAACCCAAGAAATTCAACTGCTTATAAATACCTAAATTGTTCTGTAATTGGAATGTTGAATATTAAGACTGATCTGAAATAGCTGCCATATACTGAGACATCATTTTTCATAGTTTTGATTTAACAAGTGAAACAAAATCACATAAAACATTGTTTCTATCCAGCATGCAACATTATAGTGAACAACTGTGCTGATTGATCTTTTTCAATATACATATATGTGCATAGCCTGATAGGTCCATGTGATTTACTATACCATATTACTACATACTATTGAATACTATTAAATATTGTACAAAAAGGGATTCTTTTATTTCATTTAAAACATTCATGACCTAAGCCATGAGTATTGTGTAAATGCAGATGAGCTCCGAACTATTGCATTGTGTATATTGCAGTGGTCTCCTCAATGACATGTATAAGTTTGAATTTCATGTTGTGAATGAATTGTATGAATGCTAGGATGTTACTGTAGAGAATTTGAAACTGATTGTAAGTATGCCTGAAGCTTACATTTTTAAGTCATGCTGCTCTGATGGCGAAACATTTGATTATCCAGACCGGAAAATTTATGTTAATGACTAACACTAAAAAGGTTAAGCAACAATAACGTAAGTGTGTTTTGTTCATAATTTATCTTTATTCATAGCTGTTGATACATATTTATATTAAGATCTATTTGAAAGATTGAGTTACTTTTGTATATTGAATTTATTTGAAAGATAGTTACGTTTGTATGTAGGAAATCGACGCACCGTGTAGGTGTTCGGTATATTTCACTATATACTTGTACATGTGAAAATGACGATTTCTTCCGACAATTTGTCAATTATCGTTTGAATGCCGACCCAGGCGAGGGTCGTTTATTTTCCTCATATTATATAGGGCCGGAGTTCTGACGTTCATTGACAGCACACCGATTTAAAAAAAATTCGATAGAACGCCAGAATAATTCGGACCAGGTTCGAACGTGAACAAAATGTAAACAAACTAATGTCAGAATTGAGACACCAAAATGAGATTTCTACGAATGTACGGATGAAATTGACCATGTCATTATAATGATGTAAACTGCATGATTAAAGTATACCAACGTGATTGAATCAATCCTTCGAAAGGTTGTTTCTGTCTTTTGTTTCGGCATTTTAACTGTAATAATAAATTTTCCTTCCACTGGATCACTCCAGCAGTCGCCATTCTTCCGCCTCAGTAATACCACAATGGTGGTAGTTTCGTACTTTATTGAAAACAATCAGTTAGTGCATATAGTCAGGTCAATTTATTTAAAAATATCAATAATAAATAAATATATTATTATTCCAAATCTGGTAGGTATATTTCAATGAGATATTAGTGAAATTTAACTTTTGAAAGAGGATATAATTTTTCGGAACTCTCTGAACGTAGACCTATTTGAAAGACAAGAGGATATTCCGAACAAGAGAAACGAAAACAAAACAAAGTCGCATTGTGCGATGTCTTCAGTACAAATACTTCCTGGTTTGACTTAATAAGGAAGAGCGTTTTTGAAAGACAGTGACAGCTAAGGTGAGTAAACGTATTATCTCTGTACATTACATGCATGAGACCTTTATGTTTATTCATAATTTTCAAACAATTATATTAACTATGATTGTCAGCAAAACAATTCAGCATCTTCATTACAATAGAAACAGTTGATATTAATTCTTACAGTGTTTTATACTCTGAGCTTTTCTAAAAATTGCGCATGGGATGATGCAGAAAATTAACTAGAATATTTTATATTATCTCTTCAGTGTATACCTATGTAGACCTACAATGTTCGGTATGGTCAACTTGAATTGCATTGACAGTTGAAATAGTAAAAAAACCCACTATAACTGTATCAGTACCCAATACCACGCTGGGATTTAAAGTATAGTAACCCTTTGGTCTCTAGCCAGACATTCCACTGCTCAACTAAAGGGACATTCCCACTAGTCAATGGTAGTAATGTTGAATGACTGACCATGTCAAGGAAAACAAATCATTATGTGACTTTTTAAAATTTTTATTTGAAGTTTTAGTAAAAAAAACTATGCAGTGATGGCTGCTTTGTGTCAGACATTGTGTGTGACTTAGGCCTAGCCGTAGTGTTTGTTTACATCCGACTGACTCGGTGCTGCTAAATACAGACCAGTACATGTTGGTACTGCCCGAGAGCACCTGACATCAGTATGACCACGGGAAAATGACTAAGGTATTCCAAACGCTATATTTGACATCATGGGAGTTCCGGTGTAATCAAAAGTTAGAGTGCAGACTGGAATATTTTGTTTTCGAGGTACCGTAAACTTTTTTCTTTGTTTTAAATTTTCTTAAAATTTTTATTGAAATTTGTAACAGTAATATCATTGGAAAAAAGTACTCGTACGACGGACAACTGACAAAGATCAATTTGGTTGTCCAAGACAGTTTTCTCTCATCCATGACAACCGGACAAGTGCTTTTCCTGACCCCTGTTATCACTTAATTACTCTTACACCAAACAGGGAGACACCATCTAATGAAGGAAAATATACATTTGTATGTTTATACTCTTTGAGAGAGCACAAGGTACTCTAAATAATGCCTGGATCTTATAAGAAAAACTATGACATTCAACTGTATTACACACCTGTACCATCCATGCGATTAGAATATGCTGAAAATCTTTTCTTTTTATAATTTGCTGATTGTTTTTTCATTTCATTTCAGAATACAAGTTGTATTTCATTCTTCAAATGCTATAAGATAAGATTTTGCATCTCTATGACAAGAGTAAAAAGAATTTGAAATAATACTTTGATATTTAGTAAACCTTGAATATGGTTAGTTTGAATCAGTGAGGAAAATATTTTCTTTTCTGTCAGAAACGGAAAATAATTCAGTTCCTGGTTTTCCAAATGACCATAACTTTAAAGCAGAAATGCAGGCTTTGCACAATCAGATATCTCTTTTTTATTCCAAATCAGAAACTTCCTTTCTATACAACTTATACATATAAGTATATAGAAATATCAACGTCACCTAAATCTATGTGTTCTTCAAGTTTATGTTGATATGTGTAAATAAAAATATAGATAATATTCTTTAACATAATATCTAAAAGAGTTTGTAAATATTGAGGTATAGAAGTTTTATCTATGTATAACTCTTTTTTGAAAGAGAAACGAAAAGTAATAATTATAAAAAATCATGCTGTGATGTATGTAAACATAGGAGTACTTGATGAATATGTTGTATTTTGCAAATCTGTCATAATCAGGTATTGAGTAGCATGTGTGACGTGATGAAAAGGTGATAAATCCTATCAGAAAGTAAAACTGTATAAAAGAATGATTTAAAATCATGGATACTTTAATATACACTTAGAAAATAACAATCAACAAAAAATATTATTGAAAAAAGAAGGAGGATACAGCTTCAAAATATTTTTATTTGTCAGCATAATTGTTTCATCAACAGTGTATTGTTAATGAATTGCCCCAAGCACTCATCTTTAAAATTTGAAGAGATATGTTTGTTTAGTATTGTATAGCTGGCTGTGTTTCAAGAAAAAAAAATTAGATCATGATTTCCTTCTTATGCACTTGTAAAAACTTTCAGAGCTTAAGTGACTTGTTTATAAACGGTTTCAGATTACTTCACTAGTGACAGAGTTATGACCCTTAGTACGCTTTTGATACCAAAGTTCATCCAAAGCATAACTCTCTACTAGCCATACTCACGGATTTAGATTGAAGTCCATGAAAAACTGAATTATTTTGAAATAGTGAAACTTTGCACACAGATTCTTGTTCATATATTTACCCCATAGTAACATCAAGTTTTTCACCTGATCATATTCTGGTTTGTATAGAGGTTTTCATGTCTAAAGATACTTTCTAATTGTTTTTTCTGAATATTTATGTTTTGAATTTAAGAGCTTGAACTTTCAAAATGTTAGTGTCCTTGCATTAGTTACACCATTATCTCCAAGAAAAACTGGGATAAAAAAATCAATGTTTTTATACAGAGCATTTCAGACTAGAACCCTTCGAGTAAAATCAAAGAAATTACAATGTAGGTTTACTGTATTTTTAAAGCACTCTGTCTAGGGATAGTTATTCAAGTTAGGGAAAAAGGTAACAATTTCTTCTTGTGTTCTGAGGTTTTCTCATAAAGAGAAGGATACTTATACTTTGATATAATTGTTTGGTTTTTTTCAAATTTCACACGAACAGAAAATTATAATACACATAGGAAGTGTTGTGGTCCAGTATGAAACATGGTGGGTTGAAATGTTGTAGTCCAGCCTATAAAATGGTGGGTTGAAATGTTGTAGTCCAATATAGAACATGATGGGTTGAAATGTTGTCCATTATAGAACATGATGGGTTGAAATGTTGTAGTCCATTATAGAACATGATGGGTTGAAATGTTGTAGTCCAGCCCATAAAATGGTGGGTTGAAATGTTGTAGTCCATTATAGAACATGATGGGTTGAAATGTTGTGAAATGTTGTAGTCCATTATAAAATGGTGGGTTGAAATGTTGTAGTCCATTATAGAACATGATGGGTTGAAATGTTGTAGTCCAGCCCATAAAATGGTGGGTTGAAATGTTGTAGTCCATTATAGAACATGATGGGTTGAAATTTTGTAGTCCATTATAGAACATGATGGGTTGAAATGCTGATTGGGTCCCGTGTTGAAATTTAACCAGTGTAGGATCACAGATTGAAATGTTTACAGAGTAGGAAGTGGTGAGTTGAAATGTTGTCTGAATCCAATACAGGATATGATCATAAAGTAGTGATGGTAATCACTGATATTGTTGCGTGACCCAGGTACAATAAAGGCTTTATATCAGCTGATCACAAAAAAGATATACCAGTAGTATTGTATTACATTAAACTTCCTGGAAATATTAGATGTATATAATGTTGCTAGTTAAAAAAAGAATTCGTGATATGCATAAGTTCCACCAGTTTGAGGCTGAAAAAGCATACTGGGACCTAGTTTTAACTGTTTGATCAAAAGAGATAGTGTTGGACATATTCTCCTCCTTTCTCAGTGTACAGCCATACATTGTGGTACGTATATGCATGTTATTCTGTTTGTAGACGTACATAGTGATGGCTATGTCTTGTCATACGATGTCTCAACAAGTGTTTTGACAAATGTTTTTATAATACTCAATTTGTCCCAATCAAATTGTAGTACAATATCACTGCTTGGAAAGTTAGCACAATGGTGTATTGCACTTCTGAAATGGTCACCATATAAACAACATACAGAACTGTACTGGTGCATACTTTATCATGTGACATCTGTATCATCTTTTTTTTTTATTATGTGCCTTATTTGTCATGTGACTACTTTATTTGTACCTTTTTTATCATGTGACATCTTTATCATATGTCCTCTTTATCATCTGTTTTCTGTAATGAGATGTCTTCTGTCCCGTCATGTGTCCTCATTTCTAGGTGTCCTCATTCCTATGTGTCCACTTTTCTATGTGTCTTCATTTCTATTTTTCCACTTTTCTATGTGTGCTCTTTTCTATGTGTTCACTTTTCTATGTGTCGAATTTTCTATTTGTCCTCGTTTCTGTGTGTCCACTTTTCTATGTGTCCTCGTTTCTTTGTGTCCACTTTTCTATGTGTCTTCTTTTTTATGTGTCCACTTTTCCATGTGTATACTTTTCTATGTGTGCACTTTATCAGGTGTCCTCTTTATCATGTGTCCTTTTTGTCAATTTTTCTCTTTCTCACATGTGAACTCTTATATCATTTGACATTTATATCATGTCCTATTTTTTAATCATTGCACATAGGTCAGTGTTACAGTTTAGTTTCATTGATTGCAGCTGTGATTGGCTGTCATGACAATGATGAAAATTGCTATATTTCTACTGTACAAAATTCAACTGACATCTCAATATGACCAAAAGTGTACATGGTATTTCATGCCTTTGTCTGATATCTTTAAATGATGAATGCAAGAATATTCTGTCAAAACGTTTTGTGTAACAATGATTATTTAATAGTTTTGATGTCTCCTTTAGTTTTGTGATATTTAAAGCACTGAAGATTTCTAATATTGACAGATGAACATTTACTCTTGCTCTATAAATCACCCTGTGGCTGCTTTACCTTTATCATGTGTTCACAATATAGAGGGGTCCTCTTTATTATGATAACTATATTGGGA